CGGTCTCTGGAACTTATGGTCTGTTTGCAATAATACTGCTATCCTTGCTGCTCTCCTATTCACTGTTTGGTTGTTCACTCTTACCACACTTCTAGCAAGAAAGGTAGTGGTGTTGGCCTCCTCATACCCTCTTTCAGGTCTCCTACCCCCTTCTCTCTGTGTTATCCCTTCCTTCTTTAGTCTTTCGAGTATAAACTCTCTCCTTTCATCTTCCCTAATTACATTTCTATCCTTATAAATTATCGCCCTCCCTGGCCCCCCTTCATCCTTCAACCATCTTGACTGCCTGCTTCTTTTATTCTAACTGGCCCCCATTCCTTCATTCTCTTGGGTGACTTCAATCTCCACCTCAATTCGCCCTCCAACTCAGCAGTTCTTTTCCATTTAACCAGCTCCTTTAATATACACTTTAAAAAAAAAATCGCCCCCCGACCCATACATCAGGCAACATTCTAGACTTATTCTTTGGTTCTTTCGGAAAAGTCACGTAGATATAAAAATAATAATTTCAAAGAAAGTGAATAAAAAATGAAAAAACACTAATGTTGACTGTAGCCTGGTTCTTAATCGGAGTTAGTGTACTGGTAGTCTATAATGTAGACTGTTGCAATGGTTATTAAGCTGGGTGAGTGTACTGGTAGTCTATAATGTAGACTGTAGCCTAGTTCTTAACCTTGGTGAACATACTGGCAGCCTACAATGTAAACTGTAGCGTGATTTTTAACCTCGGTGAGTGTACTGGCAGTCTATAATGTAGACTGTAGCCTGTTTTTTAAGCTGGTAAGCGTATTGGCAGTCTATGATGTAGACTGTAGCAATGGTTATTAAACTGAGTGAGCATACTGGCAGTGTATAATGTAAACTGTAGTCTGGTTATTAACCTGATTGAGCGTACTGGCAGTCTATAATGTAGACTTATTCTGGTTCTTTCAGTAATAAAAATAAAATAAAAACCACGACGTTTCGATCACAACACAAGCGGTCGTCATCAGGAAAAGGGTGGTTAGCCTATAAAGGTTTAGAGATGGGCATAGGCCAAGTGTGTCAGCAGTACGGGCGGCGCAGCTAATGTTAATATAGGAGAAAAGCAACGCCAACGCACCAGGTCTACACCAATCAAAGGGCCGTCAGACAATCATTGCACCTGTGTCACAGACACAATTTCAACCGACAAGATGGTTATAAACTCAGCAATCATTGGAAATATGTCATCAACCACTTTGGGTCATGACTTAATTTGTGTTTTCTTGTCAACCTCCACCATCAGCAGTGTGTGTATGTGGAGCGAGGTGCAATGATTGCCTGGCGGCCCTTTGATTGGTGTAGACCTGCTGCGTTGGCGTTGCTTTCTCCTACATTAACATTAGCTGCCCCGCCCATACTGCTTAGCTAATTCATTATCCCCATTGTCAAACCCAAGAAATCTAAGACGCCAAACTAATCGCCTTTTAAATATCCTTAGAACAAGAATTTGAAAAGGTGCAAAAGCCTTTTGCCATTGCAGTATCAATGTTTCAGAACAATCTTGTTTCTGCCATTAACATCATAAATCTTCCCTCAAATAATATCCTGATGCAGAAGATTAGTGCTGAATACAGCCACATTTGAAAATGTGATTTGTAAATTTTATCGTCACTTGTGTATCGATAGTTACATTTTAATGTGCTATTTTATTGAGGAATTGTATGTTGTCTTGGTGTGGTCTGGGACTGTTTTATTGTTCATTTGCTGCCTTGCATAAGCTTGCATTTAGTAAAAAAAAACGGTCTCACACACTATCCAACCAGATTTGAACGTATATGAAATTAGCTGCGTGTTTTATGTTGTCGATCCAAAAGACAGAAGCAGTAGAAAATCGACAAAATAATGAAATGCAGCAAAAATATATTTTTAATAGAGGAACATGTTTGATACCTCTTCATTTGATTATTTCATATGTTGTTGATGATTGATACATTTAAAAAAGTTATTGAAAATGTTGCCGATAATTGAGGATATACTAAATATGTATGATATTCAAAATATGTTGCTGAAAATCAAACGTAAAAATGTTTATATAGCAACAAATATCATGCCATAGGGTTCACAGCACTGCGCATTTATGACTGCACCACCGCTCTCCACATACACACATTTGTTTTTTGTGGTTCGAATATTGCCTTGTTGTTTAAGGGGCCGTCCATAAATGACGTCACGCACTTAGGGGGGGGGGGTCAGACATTTGTGACGATGTGTGACGAAAGGGGGGGGGGGTTGAGAAATGTGACGTCACATCAAAATGCGCAACTTTAAATAAATATAGACAACACGTTCTACTTAATTAAATCGACTTTTTAATAAATGTTTTATCCTACAACATCAGAGTGCAGCGCCACATTAAATACACCATACAATGACAATACTTTAAAGCGATTTGAAGCATGTTTTATATATATATTTGGGGGGGGGGGCAGAACTTTGTGACGTTATATTTGATGGGGGGTCTGACTTTTTTGTGACGCCGTGTGACTCGGGGGGGGGGGGGGGGTCAAAAATCGTCCAAAATCGCGTGACGTCATTTATGGACGGCCCCTTATTTCCCGATTAAGATCTTTGGCAGGTTGCAGACTGTGCAGAATGTGGCAGCAAGGATGCTTACTCCCACCCCGTTGTCAGAATAAATGTATCCTCTTCTATCATCATTGCAGTGGCTCCCTCTAGATAATGTTACTCATATTTAAGCATAATTCGTGATGACATTTTAAAACCATGTTTTTCAATGTTATAACAGTGTAGTGACGTATATAGGGTCACTATGGCGACCAGCGCCAGTTACTGATAGAGAACTGGAGTGTAATTAGCCCTCTCTGCCAGCAGGATGTGCTAAGCCATGGTAAATGGTCCCTAAGGAGCATGGTTCTAGCGACGGGCAGAGAGAGCATGTGAGGATGTAGCAGCCCGATTGGCTGGTAAGGGGCACGTGACAGGACAGGGTAAGGATGTGGGCCTAAGGTGACAGAAGGGACATGTGATGTAAGGCCCAGAGTCTTCTAGTGAGTTCTAGAAGGGGGCGTGGCCGAGGGGGAGCCAGGCCACGTTGAGGGGCATAAAAGGGAGGCCCCGAGGTGCGATCCGGGCTATGTACTGGAATGGAACCCGCCGTGCTACGTCTCTTCGGTCTTCACGCTCGTGCATCATGGGTCAGGCAGTGTGTTAACTGACCTGACCCGGTGGTTACCGCTATATAGTTATCCCGTTGTTACGTTTATGTACTTACCCCGTTGTGGTCATAGAATAAACGTGTTGCCTCCTAAGCCAAGTGTGTCTCTCAAGGGAACCCACTACAATAGTTTTCGTCATTTAATAGTATTACCGTATGCTCTGAGCCACGAAGCACTCACCAGTTTAAAAAAAACACATGCATCCGCCCACCGACATGTTTACTCCGCCTTGGTCTCTCTCTGCCTTATTTTCGTGTGTTTTTGTGATCATGTTACACCCATTTCTGGGAAAAGGCCTGCAAATGGTAGTGTTGGAAATGTGATCAAAGTGTCAAGAACAAGTAGCAATTTGTATGTTTAGATGCAAGTGATAAGGCTGGTCGAGGTGGGTGAATGTCAGGATGTGGGTCGTGAGCGTCAGGTAGATGCACAAAATTATATATTTTATTACAAAAAATATATAGATTTGTTTTAATTTATAAAATAATGTTTACCATCTATATCATTATGAGCGCTGTTACCGATACCCCAAAGGATGCTCTCATATTGTTCATATGTCAGAAATAACGCCATCAGGAACGCATCCCCATGTGTACAACGGTACAATGCCCCCTTTTTGGTGCCGATCTGATTAAGCGCTCAACTTCTCCACGAACGCATCTGGGGCCGTCCATAAATGACGTCACTCACCTGGGGGGCGGGGTCAAATATTTGTGACGATGTGTTACGAGGGGGGGAGGGTTTGAGACATGTGACGTCACATCAAAATGCGCAACTTTAAACAAATATAGACAACACATTCTACTTAAATTTTGATTTAAAGCTTTCGTGACTGCAGTAATTCATATTCTTAGCTCTTTCGGTAAAGTCACGTTGAAGGGAAACAATAAAATAATAAAATATATATAAAACAATAACAATTCTCACGACGTTTCGACCATAACACAAACGGTCGTCATCAGGTGTGTCGGTTTGCATAAATTTATTTATTTTTAAACGGTGTCAAATCGCTGCACGTGGCGCTGACGTTTTTTTTATAAATAAATACACCGTTTAAAAATAAATAAATGTATGCAAACCGACACACCTGATGACGACCGTTTGTGTTATGGTCGAAACGTCGTGAGAATTTTCATTGTTTTATATATATTATTATTTTATTGTTTCCCTTCAACGTGACTTTACCGAAAGAGCTAAGAATACGTTCTACTTAATTAAATAGACTTATTAATACATGTTTTCTCCTACAACATCAGAGTGCAGCGCCACATTAAATACGCACTACAATGAAAATAGTTTAAAGCGATTTGAAGCATATTTTATTATTTGGGGGGGGGGCAGAGCTTTGTGACGTCATATTTGAGGGGGGGTCTGACTTTTTATGACGCCGTGTGACGATGGTGGGGGGGGTAAAAAAATCGCGTGACGTCATTTATGGACGGCCCCTCTTGAGCGCTGAGAGAGGTCTCGCCCATGAGCCGCAAGTGCGAGGCGGGGCGCTTTAATAGAGCCACGCCCCTCTGCCGGAGGTGGGGGGGGGCTCGCACAGCACGTGACCGAACCCCCGGCCCGTCGCCATGACCACCGCAGGAGATGGCCACGTGTGAGCAGCGGCCCGAGTTGATTGGCGTTGCGCGACCCCCCCCCCCCTAGCGTCATTGGGCGGGAACCTTCGCCGCATCTCCTCCCCGCCCCCCCGTTGACCCAATATAAACCGCTGCGATTGGTTTCGTGGAAGACCGCGCGCCAGTCTCAACCAATGAAAAGTCGACGCTTGAGAGTTTTGCCCAATCGCAGTCGTCGTGACCTCGAGGAGCGAGTGGCGTTGTCTTGGGGAGAGGGGGGGGGCGGTGGCGAGCCGAGCCGAGCCGCATTGCATGGCGACTGCACGCACGAATCGCCGCAAACGTAACATGCCAGGCAGCCGGCGATAAAAGGCGCGGTAAGGCGACCGAGGCGGCGCACCGCGTCCGTTTAATCGTCCGTGTCTTTCGACGTGAGCCGGAGCGCGTGCGTAAATCCGACGCCGGGGTGGTGGTGGTGGTGGTGGGTGGGTGGGGGTGGGGATGCGGTGCGCGCAGCCTCGCTCCGCGTGGGAGGCTCGGCGCCTCAGTAGTTAGCGCCTATTGTGAGGCAATATTGCGAGGCAAGGCGGTGGCGGACGAGGTGCCGAGCGGCGGAAGCATCGCCAGACGCGGGCATCAGAGCTCGCCAAGGCAGCCGGCGAGGGGGTGGGCAAGCCTGCCCCCCCCTTAGCCAGTTCACGGAGCAATGTGTGCGCGATGCCGCTGCTGACAGCGTGAATGCTAATGCATGTACAGTGTGCAGCCTTAGTGTATGCGTCTGCTTGCTAATTGTGTGCTCGTTGTTAGCGCGTACGTATGCAGCGCTAACAGGGTGACGGCAAGATTTTAATTAACACGTCCTTTCCACCGTTCGTGATAATAAATGACGTCACGCACCTAGGGGGTGGGGGGGGGGTCAGACATTTTTGACGAGGGGGGTTGGGTTTGAGAAATGTGACGTCACATCAAAATGCGCAACTTTAAGTAAATATAGACAACACGTTCCACTTAATTAAATGGACTTTTTAATGTTTTGTCCTACAACATCAGAGCGCAGCGACGCATTAAAAATGACAATAGTTTAAAGCGATTTGAAGCATGTTTGATTTTTTTTTGCGGGGGGTGGGGCTGAGCTTTGTGACGTCATCTGAGGAGGGGTCTGACTTTTTGTGACGCCGTGTGACGAATGGGGGGGGGGGCGGTCAAAAATCCTCAAAAATCGCGTGACGTCATTTATGGACGGCCCCTAAGATGCAAGTGATAAGGCTGGTCGAGGTGGATGAACGTCAGATGGATGTGTGTCGTGAGCGTCAGGTAGATGCACAAAATTCTATATTTTATTACAACCTGGGCTCCAGGCGAGGCGCTTCGTGCAAATAGTGGAGCACTGAAGCCAAGCAGTGATCTCGCCACCTTAAAAAAATATATAACATTCGGCCTTACTTTAGGATGCACTTCATAGCAGTCGTCGGGTGATATGTAAAAGCATTTTCACGCCAGGCTTCAGAGAATCCACTTTCAGCCTTGACATCCTGACCTCGTCTGAGACGCCGCGGCCGCTGCCAAAATAACGCAGCGGGGTCATTGCAAATATTCAGCTGCCAATGCTGTTCATGTACAGGCCATACACGAAAGGCACGTCATCTTAGACGCTTCCAGAAGCATTGAGGGTTAATTAAAAAAAACAGCAATACCAAACAAAATGTATATGCATTAATGTGATTTGTACATTATTGGAATAACACATTTGGCCACAGCGTTTAGATAAAACGGCATGGTAAGAGGGCGGGAGGCGTGTATTTTGTCTCCTTTGTTCAGTGGTGTGGTCGCAATTATACTTGCGAGTATAAGATGATAGGTTTATTATTTAAGGCCAGGGGTTGTGGCCTTGGAGATTTTTTTTGCGTCTTATAACTACCTTGAGGCTGCACGCTGGGGATTAAAGGTGAAGTCTAAAAAGCTAAGTTCATGGCAGTAATGAAAAGGGGGTGGTCACCTTTACAGTTAAGATGTCAAATGTACGGCGCAAAATATATTGGAATTGTGATGAGGCGGCCAAAAGATTTGTTGCGTTTATCATAAACCTAGAATACACTTCTATAGGGAGTGGGGTTTTAATGGACAGCTTAAACCAGCTCTAAGAACAGACAGGTTCACTTTCGTCGCAAGTTGTTACCCTTTGTTGGTGCTTGTGAAGGTTGACATGAATGTCAGGATAGGGTAAACTGTGTCAAAGTGTGGAATAACATGTTGCAGCAGAGGATAGTAACTGCAATCAAGGATGTTGAGATGATTGTTGAACTTGTTGCATAGTGTAGTACAATAGTCATCCAATGTGTTTAATGTTTCTTTAACTTTATTATGTAATTGCACTAATGATTCGAGAGAAAAAAAAACCTGACTGAGCCGACTTACTTGAGTGGAATTTATTAAATATTGATTTAAAGCTTTCGTGACTGCAGTAATTCATATTCTTAGCTCTTTCGGTAAAGTCACGTTGAAGGGAAACAATAAAATAATAAAATGTATATAAAACAATAAAAATTCTCACGACGTTTCGACCATAACACAAACGGTCGTCATCAGGTGTGTCGGTTTGCATTAATTTATTTAGTTTTAAACGGAGCATTTATTTATTTATAAAAAACGTCAGCGCCACGCGCAGCGATTTGACAGTTTATTTAGAAGGACGAGTCCATCTATGTTCTGAAAAGAGGAGGGGGGAGACAGCATACATTAATTTTTCGTCTCCCCCCTCTTTTCAGAACATAGATGGACTAGTCCTTCTAAATAAATTGTCAAATCGCTGCACGTGGCGCTGACGTTTTTTTATAAATAAATGCACCGTTTACAAATAAATAAATTAATGCAAACCGACACACCTGATGACGACCGTTTGTGTTATGGTCGAAACGTCGTGAGAATTTTTATTGTTTTATATATTTTTTATTATTGTATTGTTTCCCTTCAACGTGGCTTTGCCGAAAGAGCTAAGAATACGTTTTATTCATTTATTAAATCTGAAACTTGCAAGTGAAAAGCATCCATTCGTGTGCAATTTGTAAGGCCGCGGTGACACAGACCTATTTGATTTTAAGCTTATGATACCTTGTCCATCATGACGTCCTTTTTACTTTGATGTCTCAACAGCGTTACGGAGATCACGTGACGTGAGGATTCTGCCATTGTAGTGAGGGTTGTAAGTTGACGCCGAGGAGGGGGGAGGAGGCGCCTCGACCCCCCATGTCGAGTGACGTCAACCGCTAATTATTATAAATTGGGGGGGGGTGGTGTCCATTTGGAGGACATCACCTTATAATGATTATTAATGAGGGGTGGGGGGGGGGGCTGTTCGATGTGGAGTGACGTCACCTGCTCACGATTATTAATGAGGTTGAAGGGTGCGCCATGTGGAGTGACTTCACCTGCTCATTATTAATGAGGGGGGAGGGTGCTCCATGTGGAGTGACGTCACCTGCTCATTATTAATGAGGGGGGGGAATACTCCATATTCAGTGACGTCACCCACTCATGATTATGAATGGAGGGGTGGGGGGGTGTCCGTTTGGAGGATGTCACCTGCTCATGAATATTAATGAGGGGGGATGGTCGCTGTGGAGTGACGTCACAAGCTTGAAGGACATTCCTGGGTGATTATAGTAGGTATTCCCTCGCCCCTTGCTTACGTTGCTGGAGTGACATCACGCAATCTGCGTGGCAGCCAATGATCAGATGAAAATATTCTCAGTTTTGTCCTTTCTAATTTGTGAATTTTAAGTGTAGAAGATGAAGTGAGATGACCTAGTGCCTTGCTTGGGCATGGGTTTAATTAGGCTTTAGTTTTATTTACTGTGCAGCAGGCAGAATAAGTAAAAATGTCAGTCTTATAATGTATAAATTAAAAAAATGTGTGTTTTACATTGTTTGCTTCTGGATGTCATTGTCTTTTTGCAGGCGGACACACGCATACTAGTGGAGGCACAACAGCAAAGTCATCTTCAAAGTGCATCTGACAAGTTTTGCCGTTCACAATTTTAGGTCAGTTTAAAATATCCTATTAAATTACACTTTTACTTTTATTTGTGAAACAATACTGAATGAAGTGCATGTGGCACACTATCTATTCAGGTATCAGAGTTACAAAATATCTCAACGGAGATAGTGAAAGGCTTCCCTGGTTAGGTCATTCTCGTTTATTCCTTTTCATCTGCAGATTATGGTGAAAATATCAGTATACACAGTGACGTACTTAAGATTAGAGTGGGACTGCAATTATTTAAAATTATTTAAACTTTTATCATTAAAATACATTTGTAAATGTAATACTACAAAGAAAAACCTCCAATCTGTGAATATGTGGTGGTCAGCTGATAATTCTAAGTGGAATCTAAGTAAAGAATTAGTTATTTAATTGGCTTTAATGTTTTTCAAGAAGATCTTTAAGGTGTCAGCTACCTTGTAGAGTCAGTGGTGGGGCAATGTTTGGCCTCTTTAACCGAAGTATTAGTAGTAGTGTTGCAACCGATAATTTACCATTTTTTCATTAAGTTATCCTGCCCCTTGAAGTGCAACATAAATAGTGGGATGAAGACTTTGTCGGAGAGGTGTTATAATGGTGGTTGAATGAACAACTAACTGCACAATGCAGCATATAATATTTTCCCACAATATACAACGACAAGGTTGGCCATAGACTTGCTGTATATGACGAAAAAAATATCAGATGGAAAATTGTGTGCAGTGTGGAAAGAAATACGATGAATAACACATGCAAAATTGAATTTCTAGATGGTCAAATGGCTTGATTGTTTCAATAAGATCAGTCCTCCCATCATGTCTTCCATGTTACATGACATCACCATAATACGACACAGCCTTGTTTTAGATCATCTACCAGAAAGGGTGAATGTTTTATCCAGCAGCAGGACAATGAGGCAACTATATACCGTAACGATTTCATAATTTGTAACACTTTCTCTTATGGCTATATACAAGACTTAAGCTTTTTGGCAGTCTATAAATCACATTTTGCGTGTATAATTACTCATTATTGTCAGCTTGAATGCACTTATATGATGAGTTTACCATTATTTACAGAAAGTCTTCAACTTGGTTTATTGTTGCACATTGTCCCCACAGTGATGAGTAAGGAATTGATCACTAAAAGGGCCTTGATATATAAGGCAGCAGAAGACAATAATGGCTATATGGGAGACCCTTGAATATCGAAGGTTTATCATTCATTGTTTTGACCTTTCCAAATTAGGTATCATGGGGATTAGTTTTGGCCTTTCGCGGGTATATACTGTACATGTAAGTACCGTATCATTGGCTAAAACCGTGGTGCGGGGTGGCCGAGGAATGCGAGGAAGTGACGCCTCAACTTTTGTCGTGCAAGCATCTTGCGGACAGAGACCCCCCCCCATAGCCTATAAGTGCTGTTAGCAAGCACCTATGAAGGCCGGCACAGCACACGAGGGGGTGGGTAGCCAGCACCACGCCTAGCCGCTTTTGTCTCCCTTGTGTCGACATTTACACATTGCACTAGGTAGTCATTTAAGGCTGAGTCGACCTAGGAGAGCCCCCCCGTGACTGGTTCAGATAATCATCACTGGTGTTGGACGTGAGGGGAAATCGAACTTGGATCACTGAGTTCGTAGCACGGCACGCTAACTGCTACACCACCGCTCCTCGAAGCATCTCGTGGACAAAGATCCCCTGTATAGGCTTAGACTGTTGGGGCAAGTGTTGTTAGCGAGCACCTATGACGGCCGGCACAGCACACGAGGGGGTGGGTAGCCAGCACCATACTTGGCCACCTTTATCTCCCCAGTGCTGGTGTTTACACATTGCACCAGGTACTTATTTGAAGCTGAGTCCATCTAGGGGAGTCCCAGGACTGGTTTTAAATAATCATCACTGGTGTTGGACGTGAGCGTGAATCGAACTCCGGTTGCCGGTTTCATATTGCAGCGCCCTCACCTTTGCACTACCGCTCCCGACTATCAGACAAACGCGCACACACCCACTTTGGATCATCATCCGTAAGTACAGTATTTATTCAGTATTTATACCATTGTCTAGGAATGTTTTTTGTAATGGGATGGTGAGCGATTGAGCCCATGTGATAATGACCAATACAAAATACTTTAATAAAAATGTGATTAGCCTGCATTTTACCGTGATTAGTAGTATTGATGTTTCCATGACCCTTCATATATTTAATAAGTTATTAGTACAGGGTTTTCCAAACTCCAGTCCTCGCAACCATCCATGCAACCATCCACGCTACATCTTTCCGCGTTTACCAATTTACTGCTCAGATTTATATACAAATTAACTTGTTCCACACTACACACATCCCGTGATTGTTAAACACTCTAAGCAATTAACGCTGTCTGTTAATAGATCCGATTGAAATCTCGATGCGTGAGCATATACGTGTTCCGTGTGGGTGTACACGTGTTACACATGACACAGACTGCATTAATTGTGTAGCGCATCAAATGGGATGTGTTTTACTATTTTGTACATTTTGTATTATTTTACCATTTAAGACCCACCCACTTAGCTATATAGCTTTTTTTTTTAGAAGTGACCTGGCCACAAATGATAGCTCAACGAAGTGGCTTAACATGTGGAAATTTATAGCAGCCAAAAGCTCTTAACGCATGTATCTAAATGTGGAGAGAAAAACAGGGGGACCCGGAGAAAAATCCATGCAACCACGGGAAGAACATGAAAGCTCCAAATATATAGGCATCGTGAACCCACAGCCTCCTTCATGCCCGGCGACAGAATTAACACCTCGCCACTGGGAGCATTCAGACGGGAATCAGTTAATTGGTATTTGAATAGGAAGTAAATTGGTAGCCGCAGAAATGTTGTGTGGTGGATCACGAGGACTGGAGTTTGGAAAACCCTGTATAAGTGCATTCCATCTGAATTCTGCTCACATCTTTAGAAAACTTGTACATGACGTCGGCAGGGGTTGGATTTCGTCGCATGCACTTTTGACCTTCGAGAGTAAAAGATGGTGATTGTTGCTATTATTCATAATAAAGGTTTTTTTGGGGTTAGATCACGTAAATATAAATGTGTCATTAACTCACCAACACCCGACACAGCCAATCAGTCAGGTTTGTCATATGAACAAAACGTGCCAATTATTTACTGCTTCAGCACACCGGTGTGTTGGAGAGTAAAAGCACAATATTTACAACATTGGATGGGAGAGTAAACCCACAACATTTACATATTCCAAAAACACTTGTATGTTTAGCCAGATATTTACCTTGGCTTGCAATATTACAATGTAATGCACTTACCATTATAGTATCGAGGATTGGTGCTACTAAACCAATAGTATAGTGAATCCGTATTTTTTCTGGAATATATTTCATTTGCTTTTCTTTCGAATGATTTGCGTTTATAAATATCTATGATAGGGGTTTACACGAAACATGTAGCACACCCTGTCATCTGCTCGGCTTGTTGGCTGCAGGGGACGGCATGGATCAAAGTGGGAACCCGGCCGACGATGAATTTTCTGAGAAGGACGCGCCATGTCTTATTGTGGAAGACTCGCAGGAGATGCTAACATCAGGCGAGGCTGCATCTAGCTACCAAACACTCATAACGCACAAGCTTACAGCTCTACGAGAACAGCCAGTCAGCCCTGAACTGGTGACTATTATTTGGACTCCTGCACACAATAAATGCTTTTGACTTTACGTTCTGTTTGATGTCAACTGGTGCTATGTAGTGTATTTTAATGTGCTGATATATATATTCTTTCCAGTGGAATTTTGGGTTATGCTGAATGCATTGTGTGTTTAATATGTGAACTTGACCTTAAATATTGTCCAGCTGCCTTGTAATGTGTAGAGCATAAGTGATGTTATTCATAAATATGAAAATAAAATGGCTGCCCGCTGACGTCTCATTTAAGTTAATTGCTGCCTTGAACTTTTGATATGAATACTAATGAAAAGTTATTAATTGTAACTCCCTTTATCTGTGTTATCTACAAAATAGCTTTGTAATGCGGTCACTTACATATTCAGAAGTTGGGAAAGGATTCATTTTTTTTGCTGTAAAAGATATATACCACATTTACATATGTAGGGCCTTTCATTTAGTATGTTTGCATGGAGGGGGAGTGGGGGTAACCAAAATGCGTACACTGGCGTATGGGGGAGTCTACTGACAATGTACGTACGCATAGGAAATGGGGGGGGAGGGGGTGAAACCTCGATAATAATTTGTCTACATTGGCCTTCAAATGAGTTAGATAGTCCGGGGGTGGACTATATCTGTTTGCTTAAACACGTGAATACAGGTAGGAACAACAGGTTCCACATTGCCCACCAGGGATTATTTGTCTGTCGTGCATATCCGGAATTCCATCCGCATAATTTGACTGCCATCTAGCGGGTAATGACAGTATTGTGCTCTATAACAGTCAAGTACGACTGATGATTGAGCACATAGGTACATCAACAAACACTTGTATCAGTGACTTCAAACTTTCGTTGACTGCAGGAATTCATATTCGTTGGTTCTTTCGGTAAAGTCACGTAGATGGAATTTTTCTTTTAATATAGATACGAACCAAAAACTCATACGACGTTTCGATCGCAACACAAGCGGTCGTCATCATCTACGTGACTTTACTGAAAGAACCAAAGAATATGAATTCCTGCAGTCAACGAAAGTTTGAAGTCACTGATACAAGTGTTTGTTGATGTACGTATGTGCTCAATCATCAGTCGTACTTGACTGTTATAGAACACAATAATGTCATTACCCGCTAGATGGCAGTCAAATTATGCGGATGGAATTCCGGATATGCACGACAGACAGACAGACAAATAATCCCTGGTGGGCAGTGTGGAACCTGTTGTTCCTACCTGTAAAAGTACGCATTTGTACAGGGAGGGGGGGGGTGGGATCAAGTTTTGACAGATTTTTGCTTACGTACTAATTGGATGGCCCCTAACCCTGGTATAAATATGTAATGTCATCAAGGAGTGGAAGTTCTTTGCTTTACTTTTTTTCTATGTAGGCAGTGCATAAAACACAAGCAAACATAGTGTGGTAAATTCTCCCAAGGAGGCACTGCATATTGGCCGTGTATAGTGTAGATACTGCAATTAGAATAGACACCTCGTGAGCTCCCCCCAAGTCATATATGCAATTATTGGACGTCACACAAGCAAGTCATGGGATTTCCTCGAGTGTCCACTAATATCGACCTTTAAATGTTTTTTTTCATTGCTTGCCAAATGTCACCTTCAGTGATAATCCGGATAGATAAACAATAACAACATTTTAATTTGTAATGTGCCCATAATGTAACAAACGGCTCGGAGTGCAGAAATACAAAGGAGAAAATGGGAGCGACCCAGCAAAGGTGGGGTAAAATTAAGCAATTCATGGGAAAATGTCAATGTTTCAGAGAGAGATGGTTCCAGACAGAGTTTCTGGTAAAGGGAGTCTGAGGGTGGGGGCTTAGTAGCTAATATAACGACCACCAATGGTGGAATAATGGATTTTGGGAGCAAGGAGGCCATAATCCATGGAGTGGAAGGAACGTGGTGGGATGTATGGGTGAGAAGCAGAGGTATAGAGGAGCAAGGCTGTGGGTGAATTTTAATGTGAGGACAAGAATCATGTAGGCCACACGCTTGTGGATGAGAAGGCAGTGAAGTGAGGCCTGGACTTCTGTCATGGGAAAGCAGCATTTGGTTTGGAAAAGGTGAAGTGACATGTCAGTCCTGGTGGTCAAGTGACTAGTCCTTGTTTTTTGCTGCTCATACCTGTATTTAATATTTGTAGTCTTTGTGCAGGTTTCTACTATTACAGAAAATCAATATTGAAAACGTATTTCATTGCAACTTGAATGATTGTTAGAAAGTTACTGGAGAATAATATTAAGTTGGGAATAGGTTTTCCCCTTTTTTCTGGCAACAAACAGGTGTTAAAATCTTAGAACACCAAACTGAAACCTTTTACAAGGAATCATGTCTACATTAACCACAATATTTGTGGTCAGAATGCAAACAAAAATACTCTGATAATGTGCATTATCTTTCAAACTGATTGGTCCACACCAGAGATAGCTTTCTTGTAAGCCACAAGTTCGTGTGGTTAATGCAGACAGTATTCCTTCAGTAAGAATTGTTTGGTGTTTTAACATCTTGACACCTGTTTTATTGCCAGAAAGGGTAAAACCTATTGTTATAACTTATATTTAGTTTAGACTAGGCTGCCCTGTGCTGCATAGTTGAATGTTGCATATTTGATTAAGCACATGTCAATAATACACCAATTATATTTAGAAGCCAGATTATTAAGATTGTATTTTTTTGCACGTGAATCCGAGTATAAAATAAAAAATGGAGGAAGAGGGACATTGGCACAAAAGAGGACAAAGAGAGCAGATAAATTGAAACACACTGACAAAGGGAGAAACAAAAATAGATTTAGAGATAAAAAACAGACGCATGCAGATTGGGAGAGGAGACAAAAGATAGGGAAATGGGAAATAATAGGGAGACAAAGACAGGGACAGTGAGAGCCAGAGGGAGATAGACTTGGTAATTTGTTAACATAATTTCAGTAAACATTGCGATTGTTTTTTTTTTTAATGGTCCTAGAAAATAAGTTATGGTGGGTACAACCTCAACAATGAACTTCTCATGAATGTTAGTATTTTTGTTATGGAAATCAAAGCTTTAAGGTTGGATATTTTTCAGGCACTACTGTCCACACCTGGAAGGTCTGCACAGCAGAAGATAAGTACAGATGTGCTTGATGGAGCACAGAGACCAGACCCTGCACCCTCAGAATCGTGTAGCTTAGAATTAAACACTATGCCTCATATTCCTCATCTTAAAGGTAAGTCTGGACATATAAGCAGATTGCACCTTTGATAATAATAATAAGTAAATCAGTTTCTAAATATGTCATGAAATAACCTTGGTCTTCAGCCAAGAATTGTTTTTCGTCCAGTGTTTCTCAGCAGCATATTTTAAGCAGGTAAATATTGAAATGGGCTTGACTTTTCAAGTTCAATTATCGGTGTGGCCTTTTAAACAGATGCTGCTGAGTTTACCTGGTGTTATAGACAAGGGCTGTCTGTACACACTATGGGGATATTCAGCACAATATAGAAATTTTTTTTAAATAATCATACAGTCTTAGTGGATTGTGGTATTATATGCATGGGAATGTGTCCGCCATTCACACCATTTTACTTGCGTGACATTCTAAAGGGTCACGGGGGGACTTATTATGACCAATAAATCCAGGCATTTAAGTTATTGAATTATAACTTTGTTTAACTTTTTGAAATACAATTCCATCGGCCTATTTTACTTCTGGACATTCTAGACTTATTTTCCAGCAGCATTTGTTTAAGCTGACAAACTCTCTATGAGTTCAACTGTGAGTCTCAGCGGCAGAATGTGGCATTTTTAAACAACTGCCTTTGGGTTTGTGCAGATAAGCAGACATCTGTTGTTAAAGATGCCTTCGAGCAGCCTGCCACTGAGGTGGTGAAACCCAGCAGTGTCGAAGAGGCCTCGTATGCCAGCTCTACAAAGAAGAGGTACACATTTTAAGTGTGTATTGCGCTGCTGTTAAACAGATTGTAGAATTTAAAATGTGAGATACATGATTCTTGAGAAAATTACACTCAGTTTAAAATGGGGATATCTAGAAATGTAAAGTTAGTGAAATATAAGCTAGTAATTGTTTTGTGTAGTATCTTTTCTACGAACAAGTATGGCCTTATTAAATATGTTTCCCAAAAGATCTAAATTAACTGAGGAAATTGTTTGCATCACAATAGTGGAGAACAATAATGAAGACCAGTTAATATTGAGCTGAGTATACTTTCCATATTTCAGCTGTTAGCTTATTCCATTGATGCAATATAAACAACTCAAAGCCAAACATATGCACTTAGGCAGTGGTGAAACAGTAGTGACTTGGTAAAAAAAAGAAATATGGATTAAAAGATACACTCATGACAAGAGGTAGGGGTGGATTATGGAGAGGTGAATGGTCGAGTAGTAATGGCCATGAAGGATGTTGATGATAAATGATACTTGATCTGCAGGTTGATTTGGAGCCAATAGATAACCTTTTACATGCTTAAGCGAGAAGCCTGGCTGGTTAATTTTGTATTTTCTTAATCTCAACATGAAAGCTCAACTGGAAGACATGTCCATAGTAAGAGAAAAGATGTGGGTCACAGTAAGGATTAATGAAGGTATTTACATTTGCCAGAGATGTTGCCTAGCTTGTGACATAACGTGAACATATTAGGCCTAGATTCAGGATGGCATTAAGGTTTCATTGAAAAGTTAAAGATTATAGTTTAAGATGAGTACACATTGTTATTCGTTTGAACCTTTCATTTTCATTGTGGTCAGTTTGAAGAAGTTTGAATATGAGACATAATGAAAGGATAGAGCCATAGTTTACACACATTTCTCTACAGGATGTCCAATCAGGTTTGTAATGGTTTATTTCGTATGTATGTTGAACTTGTTTGATACTGTACGTAGCCAACCATGCTAATCTGAGCTTGTGTCAATACCCACTTTTGTCTTTTTTCAAAAGTAAGAGCAAATTTAAGTGTTTTTATTTTTGTTCACTGAAAAATATAAGCCATATGCTGCCTTATGGGTTTATCTCGCATATGAAAAAAAGGGAAGGTAAACCGTTGTGGGGCTTGTGACTAATGTAATTTGTGTGCAGTAGCCTCCGGCCTACCCAGGTCTACCGCATGGCAGAGCGGACTGTGCATATGTTGTTGCATGGGGGACTGAGGCTGGAGCCGTCGGAGCACGCGCCTTCCACTGGCAACGTGTCGGGAGTAGTGGAGTTGACCATGGCGGGCGATGATGCAGAGAGGGTGGACGAGTCTTGCACACAGGAAGACATGTTTGAATGTAAGTAAAACATCAGTTTAACATGTAAGTAAAACATGTCAGTTCTCATGATTGAATACCGTAAGTTGTCTCAAGTACTGCATGCTTCATCAATGCACAGCCTTTGTGAAAGAACCTTTGTGATCCTGTGCATAATGCCACACCTCAGGTGTACACATACTTCATTTTGTATTTGCAGGTACACATTTACAGCAACAACTTTCATGTTTTATGTGTACAAATTGAAATAATTAGATTTCGAGATTTTGACACAATTTGAGATATACTGCACAGTCATACTAACTATTCTGATAAGTTATCCATGACCATTCTCATGTCCCTGGCAGTTTTGTGTGCATGCATATAACAACCATTCCTCAAAGTGCAGATTGGTTCCTCAAAGTGATGAAGGACACTTTGCCGAACTCCCTGTGTAACTTGTTTAGGGAGTGCAAAGGGCCGCCAAAGTAGTGTGCTTCTGTCGCAAATGTGTTCGTGCATGCATAAAATGTATGCACATTGTATGCATACGCGTGTGTTTTTACTTGACATTTGTAGTGAGTTAAATTGAGTCGCAGACGGACTCTTTGGAGGCAACACATTTATTGATACCAACACAAAGGGGTGACACTACCCCTTAACCAGATAACAACCTATGGTGGTGGACCACCAGGCTAAGGGGCCGTCCATAAATGACCTCACGCACCTGGGGGGGGGGGGTCAGTCATTTTTGACGATGTGTGACGAAGGAAGGGGGGTTTCAGAAATGTGACGTCACATCAAAATGCGCAACTTTAAATAAATATAGACAACACGTTCTACTTAATTAAATAGACTTAAATGTTTTCTCTTACAACATCAGAGTGCAGCGCCACATTAAATACGCACTACAATAACAATAGTTTAAAGCGATTTGAAGCATGTTTTATTTTTTTGCGGGGGGTGGGGCTGAGCTTTGTGACGTCATATTTGAGGGGGGGTCTGACTTTTTGTGACGCCGTGTGAGGAAGAGGGGGGGTCAAAAATCGTCCAAAATCGCGTGACGTCATTTATGGACGGCCCATAATTACACTAATCACACCGTAACTAGCTACAACGGACCGGACCACAGCTCGGGTCCAGGTCCACGTGTTGGAGAGTCTGTAGAACGTAGATTTTTTCAGGATGAACAACAGCAGCCGGTCCCTCTCGGGGACCCGGCTTATATGCTCCGTGGTGCGGCTGGCTCCACCCTTAGCCACGACCACCTTCGAGGAGCCTCGAGCAGGATCTCGACCCTGACACATGACCACCGCTAGCCCCCACCTGGGGGCCCTGTGTAGACTTTACCGGTCACGTGGCCTTCGGGGTCAACCAGAGTGCCATGGCCCTTAGTAACCCCATTCCCATGGCCGGCACTCTCACACCCTATCCTGTCGGGGTCGACACTGCACGCAGAGCGTGGTGCCATCCAGCACTCCCAGTCAGTGCTCACCGAGCCCCTCTAGGGCCGGTACTGCACCCACATATACGTGGTGCCCGCGATGTGAATACATCGCACGCCGTGCCTCTCTAGGACCGGCATTACACAGTGACATCCGCGATTTCACTACAATTGTATTAAAATTGATGTAATATTATTTGTAAGGGTATAGTTATTTTTAAAAAATTCGATTGTCAATTAAGTGCTTTTTAAATTGTTGAGTTTTAAACCTAAGCTGGAATGTTCCAGCTCTGACATAAATAATGGTGTGGTGGCATGGCATGCACAGACAATTAATGGCATGTACTAATTGTATGAATAACTTCATTATGAAACTTCTGTTATTTCTATGGAGTTGTGATTTTTTTGCTTTATAAGCTCTATTAAAAAAAATTCTAAGACATTCCACATATTATGTATAAATGTCACTATGCTTATAAACATTTATAAAACGATATATTTTTAAATGAAATGTATAGCTGTTGGGATAAGCATAATACAATATAATTTATCAAGGATAATCTTGATTTGAAGCTTTCGTGACTGCAGGAATCCATACGTGACTTGACCGAAAGAACCAAAGAGTATTATCAAGGATAGGTCATACATTTAATGTCTTGATATTTTAAGAACATATTTTAAATATATTGGTATTGGACTACTGAAATAATGTGACTTCATTTTGTGGAAAGTATTGAGCATTAGACCAAAATTCCTTCTCATTGCATTATTAAGCATATTTAAACAACTTAGATATGACACGGCATTTTAACATTTATCGTGATGCTTAAGAACGTATTGTAAAACATGTCCTTAACAATATGCTTGTGCGTATATTATTGATGTTAGTCATACATGACCAAACTTGCAAACATATTGCATTTGGTGCATCATTTATATAAGAACACAAATTGAAATACACTCATGTGTACCGCATGTTGCTGCCAGGTTCACAGATCCTTGAAAGTGAGGCCAAACCACTTTCTCCATGCTACACGCCCGTGGACTCCCTGAAAGTGCTTCACCTGTCTGGACACCAGCCCCTGGCCTCTGAGAGCCTGTCTACTGAGTAAGAACTGTATATACAAGGCTTTATTTCATGTTGTATATGTTTTGCTGTTAATGTTTGCTGGTAAGCAAAATCTAACTTTTTGTTTAGGTTTATATTGTGGGTTTTCAATAATGAGTAGTTTTAAGGGTATGATATTGTAATGGGATAGCGTGTGTATTTGTACCACTGCATTTTGCCAACTGCTGTAATTCACAATTAGCGAAACATAATTCCAGGCCAACTGTCACAACCGAAATACAGGAATACCTTGCATTTTCGTCTGGTTAGGGACCAGAGCATGGACGAATGTCAAAAATGGACGAATGTCAAAGCAGAGCCTTTATTTAGCTTGCAAATTTATTTTGGCCAGCGAAAACATACATGCAAATAACTACAGCAAATATAAAAAACGTACATCCAAATAGCTACAGTAACTATATAACACATGCATGCGAAACCTAAATAAACAGAATAAAAGAAAAATAAACATAATAAATAAACAACTAAATAAATAAGCAAAACAAAGTAAGTAAATAAATGCTGCCTTCAAATATTTGTATTCTTGCATAAGTGGACGATGAATATATTGGTGATTTAGGGGGAATATAGATTCATAAAATAGGAAGGAGAAAATCAATCTCTTTTTGGAGGTGGGGACTTTGATGGAGATCTAACAGGGGCTGGGGCTGATGTTGATGGCTCGGAATCTGAAGGGTTAGGGGGGGGGATGACTGGCGATGGTTGTGGTGGTTGCTTCAGTACCAAAATATAATAATAGGGATTTTCTCCTTTTTTCTGGCGACAAAACTGAAACCTTTTGCAAGGAATCATGTTTACATTAACCACAATACTTTCCACGGAGAAGTGAAATTCTCGGAAGCTCTTTATTGCAGTGTTTCTGTGATTTCCATTGTGTTAATGTGAGATTTGCATTGCAGGTGCTCTGAGGACATGGTAGCTCCCTCTCCCAATGCCTACAGCTCCACACCTATCATTATACCATCCTCCCCAACAGCCCATGATTCTCAAGACAGCAGTCTGGGTAAGGACTTAATTTATATGTCATTGTTCTTGAATTTGGTATCTTGAAAAAAGCTCTAATTTTTGTTATTAAACAATGACAATATGGAAGAGGATCACTCTGTACTTTCAGTGCGTGGTTTGCTGCATTTATCAAATTTTCAAGACTGAAAACCTCTAATTACTACATACGAATACATTTATAGTGTCTGTTTACAAAGGGTGACATGGTAAAAATACAGGATATTTACCTTCCCCCGCACCTCCAATTAGCACGGTTGGCTATGTATGGTGTGAAATAAATTCAACATACTTACAACATGGCAGTTGTATGGAAAACTGATTGAATAAGATGTAATTTGTACCAAGGTATAACAAAGTTTTAAAAAAGTATAACATTAAAGGTTTACACTGGATAATACATATCTGAATTAAAATAAATGTGTGATATGATGTCACTTGTCATACCCAACCTATTGTTGAACACTTAAAGTGAGCTCTATGCATGTGAAATGCAGCGCATTATTGGCTGTAGTAAATACAGGTGGTTGTAGGAATACAGGTGCAGTTTTGATCATGCCTTTTTGCAGATATGGAGGAGCCCATGGATGTTCTAGTTGCTACACCCCCTCACTGCAAGTCTGATGAGCCCATGGAGATGCAATCCCCAACCTGCACCACTCCTCTTCCGGCCGAAATTCCCAAATGTAAGCAGATATGTTGGTACATTTGATTTAAATATGTTTTGGGAAATGTATGGTATTCTGCTTTGGAATAAGTTTACAGCAAAGCTTATTTCCTTCAGAATATTTGGTGAAGTACACAGAAGCAATTGATACTTAACAAGGAAGATTGTTGTTTGAAACATTGATCAGGCACTTTTTTCCCTTTCATGGCAACTAACATTAATGTACCCAACCACCGCTAGAGATTCATTTGAACTTTCCTTCATAAATGCCAAGATTCTGAGGCAACACATTAACCCCACTAGAAATGTACGTTATCCAAAAACACTTTATTGGCTTTGGCTTCTATATCCTCAGAATAGATCACATATAATACATTGTTACCATTGACATTGTTTTTCTTTATCTTCACCAGAATACACCATTAATCACTTGTATATCACTTCCTTGATTTAATTAATCTAAAATACATATTTCTTCTCGCGAGTTCGCTATCTCCTGTTTACATTCTTTTTTCTAGCTCTGATGCCTCTCTAACATGCAGTGTTTTCGCACTGCATATCCATCCTCTCAAAGTACTGTCTCATCTGTTGTCTCACTGTAGCTCTGATTGTCTCATCAGACGCAATTTCCTATGTTTATCATTTGTTTCTTGTCTTTTAGTTCTGGTATCCCTTCACCTCTCTTTTGTTGTACATGGATTTTTAGATACTGTTATGCATACAAATAAAATATATTATTTGGTTCTAACTGCCCAGAAATCTAATTATAGTCAATATTTGGTATTCAACTGAGTTGTAAAAAGTGCTATTTGGGGAATCCCAAGTTTGCAGGGTGTCACATTGAGACTACTGATACCAGCTCAGCCTCAACACTAGGGACTAGGCAACACAGCTGGATCTACACTTCATTAATGCGGGACACCAGACTAGGATGAAGCAGTTTCTTTGTGAGATCTCGGAGCACATACAGGTGTAGGTAGAATTAGAAACTCGGACAATGCGGAAGTCATCCTGGGAACCAACTGATTTGGAAATGTTGGCTATAGTAACCATTTACAATCATGTATGGAAAGCATGGACCAGTAAGGTAATTATTCATAAAAATATTCAATCTATGGTATTGCTTTTATGTTATGTAATGTATTGTAATGAATAACAATCGTGTTGTATTCACTTAGACTTCGCTTAGCGCTTAACATGCGTTCCTGGAGAAGTGAGCTCGAATCATATCAGCACTCAAAGGGGTCATTATACCATTGTATATATATATAGGAAGTAAACGTTTTATAAAGACTGGCAAGCGCTGCTTGGCTCAGAGCATTCGTCACTCTCATTAGGTGAGCGAATGTAAACAAAGATGGCGGGTGCATTGCCTCGGCACTGTGTTCTCGTAAATGCTTTTCATATTTTGGGATTTGCTTTTTTTTTGTAAAAAAAAATCTCCAGGACAAAGAACGATATAACGAATCGGCGTTCTATGGCGTAGCGCTAAGCGACATCTGTCTGTATTGTGTAATTCAAAGAGAAAATTGCGTGACCATGCCCAGAACCTGATTATGGAACTTCTGTTGGAAACGAAAATGGAACCGTATTATTTTGTATGCAGTAAAATCCCGGCTTGCCAGATCTCGTCTTTCGCTGCACCATTTCTGCATAAATAATAAATAAAAACCCCGCAGCATTCAGCACCAATTAGAGCGCACATGAGTTGCAGTGCACGCACATGTTTTGTAACTGCATGTCGCTCTGTGGCCTCGTCTTGCTTTCTGCTCCTCCGTGTCCTCTTTCATCATCTCACTTTACTTTCATCCTTTTTTGTCTTTTTTAAATTCATTTTCACGTTTTTATTCAATGTTTTTTTTTTTACTTATTGGAGGGCACCAACACACCTTAATGGTAGTACAGTGCAGTAGATTTTGATTTGCACTATAGACGTCTTTTATAGTCTAAATTAACATTACAATGTTTTAGACATTGTAAATATGTAACTTGAATTTTGAATGCTCTCTATGGTTTATAGGGCAATTTAAGTGTAGCATTGATTTTAATTATTTTTGTGGGTAGTCACACTTTTCAGCAAGCCGGACCAGTTCTCTCCCCTGTTAGTCCGGCTAGCCGAGGCTTTACTCGATATAGATTTCTCTAAATATTCTTTTCGGAAATTAGTCACCAGAGAGGTGCAAATGACATGACAGGTAAAACTACTGTGGCTGTGACTGGATGTGAATACTTTTGGTGCTTGATTGAAAATTATTAATCCACCCAGAGACATCTTCAGATTGACATTTGGCATCTTGTTAACTAGCTGTAAACGAATATATTTGCCTTAAATGCCCACTTCCAGAAGGAAGATGGCGTGTCTAGACTATTTTGGAGCTTCACGCCATTTATCAGCCATTTTGCTTGTGACTAGCAACAGTGAGCACATCATCCAAAGTATACATGATGGTACTAATGTGTGCGTTCATCTTGATGTTGCTTGCATGTCTTGGTCTAATAATGTCTGCACAAATCATTTGGAGAGTGGTAAAAGGCCCTCTCCTCATCTGATGGGGCAACATAAAAAAAAAAAACATCGCAAATTCTATTTCACGCGACGTCCCAGTCAAAACACCAGATACATTTACAATATAGAGATGAATAAATAAATGCTCTTTGAGTGGACGTCAGCCCACATAGCCACAGAGCCACTTTGCAGCCTCCTCCAGCACTTGCACGGCAACCAGTGCGCCCGGCACTCCCTGATGCACTTTACAGCCAAAGTTGATGTGTGCCATGGTCTCCTGCTCCCTGCATTTACAGTGGGCTGTTATGTAGGCCCCATCGATGTTCGGAAGCAGCACACACTCCCTGGTCACTCCGGAAGCGGTTGAACTCCATTATAACGCAAGCATGCCATGACGCAGAGTAACCGGTGGATGTTGGAGCCCCATTACAAAGCTCTTGAGGTCCTTGGATGATTCAAGGGCATTTTTTTTTATCTCCAAACCCATATCCTGAACCCCGTTCCTTGCATAGATAATTCAGTATTCATTCACAGTATCATTGACAATTCTGTATTATAGAGCTTTTTCCATATTTTAAGCTACTTGTATGATTAATATTAACAGAAGTTTGCCATTGTTTTACAGGCATACCTAATGTACAAGCCACTGCTGCACAGGCAGACAATGAGATTCAGCCTTCTGTTCCGTTGTCACCCAAGCCAGCATCTCAACCTGTTCAAGGGGTACTCAAGAATCCTGAGGAGGCACAAATCCAGAGAGAAGTGCAGACACAACATGTGACACAGGCTCAGCAGACATCACATGCACACCTGGCTACCCACGAGGCAGACACTCAACATTATGCACAACAATTGCAGACACAAAAAAATACCCAAGAGGCACAGACACATAACATGCCACAGTCTCAGCAGGTTACACAGGATGCACAAATGCTGAAGGTCTCTCAAGATGTACAATTATCACAAGAATTACAAGAGGCACCCCAAGATGAACAGGCTCAGCCACTACACACTGAGTCTCCTGAAGAGGGACTAACACACCTGAAGTCACAGACCAAACAGGCTTCTCAGCAGCCACAGACACACCCGATCACCCAAGAGGCACAAGAACACCACAAATCCCAGGAGGTGCAAACACACCAAGAGAAGACACAAGAACAAGAGAATACAAAGATACATCAGTCGCATAATGTAACTCAGGCTGCTCATATTCAGGAGAAACCATCCTCTCCAGTTGCCATCTGTATTCCTCCATCAGAACCCGAGTTCTCACATGTGAGTATAACATTGTGTTTATATATGTTGGAACTTTTATTATAGCAGTTGTATTATGTGATTGCATCATAACAAACTGTAATTCATAAAATTTTGGTTTGGCCAAATTTCTTCCAACATTTTTATTTTAAAAAGCCATCGTACAACATGCAGCCAACTCTACATTAAGTTTGCAATGATATCTCATATTCTGGCAGAATACAATTGATTTTATATAGTTGATATACTTAACATGTAGGCTTAACAGCCAATATGATACATAATGGTTTTTTTGGTTAGGCAACATGATGATTTGGTCAAAATTAGTTTGTATGACCCTCCACTGCTCATCATGGTCAAACAAATGAAATTGTCAAATGTGCAAGCATATATTGTGCCAATCATTGTATCAGCTCACCGGTTAGTTGAAAAACTATTTTGACTAGAATGTAACAATTAGATGTAACTTTTTGCTTGAAACTGTGGAAAACATCTTCAGGACAGAACCCTGAAATTCTAAATAATCATGTCAACTGACCCAAATTATGAAGTTCGTTCGCTTCTTAATCCGCTTGTCCTGGTGAGGGTCACAGCAGTGCCTCCCTCCATAATGTTGTTTAATTTCAATTGCTGGTTCTGATATTCAATTTCCTGTACACGTGAACTTCTCTTCCTGCAAACGTCATGAAGTCATGGCACCATTGGTTATAATCGAGACATTCCACATTGCATGATTTTTGTATTGGTATCTCATATTGACACCTGAATTAACAGGTTGGAATTTGAAGGAAAAAGATGGGTGTGAAATGTTTGTTGTAAAAAGTTACGTGTCCGAAATTTACTTGCCAAATGCATTACTCCCGTGAGCTTATAAGGCCCATTGTTTTTAATTCTGAATAATGAATGTGTGAAAAGTAGTGTGTACAGGAAACCCTTGAATATACCGGGGGTTACTTTCTTGGAAAGTTCCACGAAAGCCACGACCGCTGTATGATGAGGTTAGGTACAAGGCAACAAAAAATAGACACATTACAACTGAAATAAGTACTATACTGTATGCCAAAAAAAATAAAACTTAATATTCGAAATAATTTATACATGTAAAAATCCGAGACAAGAAACATTTCTAGACAATAAATAGTACAAATACTCAATAAATACTGCACTTACTGGTGATGATCATGATGATCCAAGTCAGGTGTGTATGTGTGTGTTTGTGCGCAAGTGGAAAGCGGTAGTGTTATTGTTAGCGTGCTGCGCTACGAACCGGCGACCTGAGTTCCATTCCCGCTCATGCCCAACACCAGTGGTGATTATCTGAATCGGTCCTGGGCCTCCCCTCAGTCGACTCGTACTCAAATGAGTACCTGGTGCAATGTGGAGACATCGCCACTGGGGAGACAAAGGCGGCCAGGAGTGGTGCTGACCACCCACCCCCTTATGTGCTGTGCCGGCCTTCATAGGTGATCGCTAACAGCACAGTCTGTTAAGGCTACACTGGGAATCATTGTCTTTGCCTGTGAGGATGCTTGTACGGCTAAGGTAGAGGTGCCAATCCATGTCTTTACCCACAGTTAAAATTTTAATATCGATGTAAATGACCTGAAAGTTTTAGTATAGTGGTCTTGAAGAACAAGCAGAGCTTATTTTTTCTAATCATATATTTTTATTGCTAAGGTCTTGTAATTGTACCTTGACGTTAATTCTCACGAATTCACTTTCCAGGACATTTTTATCCCAACACCTGCAGATGGTATCAATCCCTCAGCCTCTAATGTCCCAAAGCCTGTGGACACACCATTGGAAACGGAGCCAATAACTACAGTGCGAAGTGTATCGGATGTCAATCTGGATACCAGTAAAGGAGGAGACGCGTCTTTCCACTTGCAGCTTTTCAGTGAAGAACACACGGAGTTGGACCACCTAGCATCCCTGCAGCAGTTTATATCTAAGCAGGAGTCTCAAAATTTGCAAACCAGCCAAATACCATCAGACAAGCTGGACACAGACACCAAACTCGTCAGCCAGTCCGATGTAGTTGAAGATAAAAACAACCAACCAGAAGCAACAACCGACCCTCTGAATAAATCTGAAATGCCTCTAAAGCATGGGCAAGGTGATCCATCCAAATTGGCCAGTGACACGAAGGAAATACAAATTGAATCTGGGCCATCTGTTAATTTGCATTTATGCTCAACTGCGAAAGAGGACACTTCCGAGGATCAGGACAGTGAACCAAATGAAGAAACACAGATTGATGAGGAAATGGAGGTGGCTCTGGATTTCACAGGGGATAATTCATCATTACTGGAAAAGAATACTGATTCTCAGTTACAGGTGATGGAATCTAAGGTTAGTGAGCCTCAAATGAGTTGTCCCCCAAATAAGAGCAAAGATGCTTTAGGAAAACATGATATTGATAAAGAAACAAAGATAATTGCCATTGTTCCTGCACTAGAGCCTAGCCATAGTGATTGTGTTTCTTTAGAAACTAGTAATGTAAAAAATGATCAGCCTGAACAAAATAAAAATTCACAATCGGAGCTTAAAAAAGGTTCGGAAGCAGTTGAAGCCATGCAAGTTGAAAAAGTTATGGATACCAACACAAGTTTGTCATCACAACCAAAATTTAAATGTCTAGAAGTTAGTGATGAGGCGACTGTCAAAAATCAAGACCCTCGGAGCCCACTGGAGGTGGAGGTGGACGGTTCATCAGGGGATTGTGAAGATGACACAGGAGCTGATGTGGCTCTCCACCTGTCACTGTCAGAATCCCAAGCTGAATCACAAATAACCGATTCATCAGTCATCGTGGACAACAGTGTCAGCAACTTGTCAGGAAAAAGCATCCAAAATGGGAACTCCACGGCACCAGTCGATCCCCAAACAAGGTCACTAATTTTAAATGAAAGCGGAACGTCTGAAAAATGTAGTTTGATGATAATTGACAACGAAACCCAAAATACAGAAGCTTTAGTGCTTGAAAAGCACGCTGCAGAAAGTCAGCATTTCCAAAGCGAAACTATAACAGCACAGCCTAAAGGGTCTGCTCAAGATGTCTGCTCACAAAGTAAAGCTGTGAACAAGGATGCAGAAGAGATGCAGATATCACAAAACAAACCAAGGTTGGAAGAATCTGAAGGTGGCTTTCAGGGTAGAGCTGTGGAGGCTGAAGTAAGAAATGTCCTGGAACATGAAACATCGCAACAACAAGCAGCAGGGGCAACCAAGCTGTCCTCGTCTGAAGATGATGGTGATAACTCAGTAGTAGAAGAGACCAATAAGGCTAACCTTTCCTGTTCATCATCTAATGGTATGCGAGTACATTCACAGACATACAGGTGTGCATTCCAGTTTTGTGTGTGGATGTGGGTATGCACATGCATAGAACAGGTGTTTAATAACTGAAAATAATACATTGCAATCTAATCAATAAATATGTATGTCCATGGATGCACTTGTTCAAAAAGGGGAAATATAAATATACCCATATTAGCACTTTCATTGCCTCTTTATATTTTGTACAATGTTTAACATTTTCATTTGGTTACTGGCACAATCTTGTCCACAACTGTATAAGCAACAATAAAGAGGGTTCTCAGAGCAATATTAGGAGCTATATTTCCCACAGTTGGATTGGAGAATGAAGTTATAAACAAATTAGGAAAAAATTTAGTCGTCTCTTTATTTCTTCATAGCATAGTCAACATAAAATGAAGATTAATTCTAGAAATAATTGAGCATAACAAAGAAGGCTACAAAGGTAGATTAAATATGTATGAGGAAAACAGTCGCATACAAGCGATTTTCTATAAAATAATTGTTGGAGGGACGCATCTGGAAAACAAAATATGTATACCTAGCACGAAAACAAAGCAGTTTGGGGCCCAAACGATGAACTAAATAGGTAGATGACGAGGTATTGTGAAGGCTTTCTAAATTGGGGTTAAATATTGTAGTTATCAAAATTCCTTGTCTGTCTTTCTACTTCACTCCTTATGTGGAGAGACATGATTATGTATATTCTGCGTATCTATTTGGTTACTTACATTCTCCAGAACACATTGTGAAATGCATATGCATACAACTTCATTGCCACCCACAGCCACTGACTTGTATGTTGTCTAAATTATTGGACCTGGGGCCTGACTTAATTTTGGAGCAAGGGCTGGTGGATTCAATGAGCATTGCTGATGTGACCCACATGGGTGTAAAATTGGATGAAACAAAAGTAGACGCAGTCTTGATGTTTTCATCTTCTGTATATGTTTTACAATTTACAAAGGTGCCAAAAGAGGAAGTGGCCTATTTGCCAATTTCAAAATCATCCCTACACTTGGAATTCTCAGTAATGACAACGCTGTAATGCTAACACACATTCTGTTCCCTCCCAGATGGGACAGCTGATTTGTCTATAATGGGACTTCTCCCAAGTTATAAATTCATAGTTTCTGAGAAATGAAGAGAATAAGTGTGAAAGGAAATTGTGTGACCTTTCAGTGTGGCGTTTCTTTAATTTAAGAATCAGGCTCATTAATTCTGAATAATTTTCTTTTGGAAAAACCTGTTTTGCTAAATTATGAATAATTTTTATATTTTTTCAGTTTCGTGTCTCTACTTTCAACATGAATAGTTTTGTCATACATGTCAGCTTTTTTGTTTAATTATTTCTGCATGATCACTATTGCATGTGCTTCTTCACAAGTTTTGTTTTGTTGTGTACAGAAGTGCAGTTCCACTTTACTTTGCCAAAAGAGGGTGAAGTTATCCGGCTGCAGGCCAACATCACCCCACCTCTTATCCGGCAAATGCGACTTGCTCCCCGACACAGCACACCCATTGGTGGGTTAACTACTTCTAATGACGTGTGATATGATCACTAACATCGACTGGTGTTGGGTAACCGATGTGCCTACTAGTTGTACATTGAGAAAGAGAAGCAAATATACTATATTTTAGGCTTGTATGGGCAAGTGTAGAGTGATATTTCAACACAGTTTTATTGTCAGAGATTTGACGAACATAAGTTGTAATTTCTGTATACCGAAGACACTGTTGAGGCTAGCGTACCAAGGAATACAATTACTGGTTGACATTTACTGTCCAGCAAAGGTGTTAAAAGTAATCAAACAGGATAGACATGGCATTTAAAGATTCAGGGCAGTGCCTATGCTTGGTAAGGCAGGATACCATGTAAAACAAACCTTGATTCCGGTGGCAATGATGAATTGTATAAGTTATGTTATAATGAGGCATGCAACTTATCTAGTTTTGCTACCAAACAAAATAATTAAATAAACTTTACCCGATTATATATCACTTGTAATGCAAGCAATACAAATATTGATGAATAATTAATTTGCATATAACCAACCAAGTGACCTATTTGATCAAATTTTGCTCCCTTTAAAAAAAAATGTTTGCACACACCAAGGAGATGAAGAATAACATACACTTAAATAAAATTGCCTTTCTCCAAGGCAAAAATTGGGCCAAATATATCTCCCAGATAAGACAACTGCTTCTAAACATTTCCAGAAAAAAGACTAACGATAATTTATTTTTTGCCGCAGGTGGCTCAGAGCCTCCCCGGGCCCCCTCCGCAGCAAGCGACGTAGTGGCCGGAGATGACAGCAAGAGAAACCTTTCACAGGAGGGAGCCCAGCCTAGCCCTTCCTCCCAGCGGAGCCAGGGTGCGCGAGGGGACCTCACCAGCCAGGGGGGGGTCCCTGAAAGCCCTTTAACCCCGCAGATACAGGGTAACCAAGAGGACGTGAGCTTTCCAGAAATGCAAAGAATCCAGCAAGAGGAGAAGCAGAGTGTCAGGGAAGAAGAGAAGACGAGAGAGCAAATTAAGGGGAAGGCGCATGAGAAGACTTGCCTAGAACCAGCACAGATAATCACTTCAACACCCATTGACAATGAGGAACAGCCCCACTTCAGCCTAAAAAGTAAGCTGTCGTTGAGAAATATAGACGATGGGCGATGGCTTTATATAAGCTTATACTTGGTCATACAGTTCTGGCAATGTACATTTGATCAAAATAAAAATCTCCCCATATTCTTCATTAGCACTGCATCATAACAAGAAAATGTATAATAGGCTGATGTTTTGAACACTGGCCATTCAAAGCATATAAATGGCAGAAATACTTGATGGTTGGAGATTGCCCCTTACATTGTGGTTCCCTCGGAAAACTGGAAAGTGTTAAGAAAGTTGACAAATGAAGATTTTTTTACTAGCATAAACAGCTTGGCATGAGTAAACATTCCATCGTAAATAAACGCTTTACATCTAACAAATAGTGTATCTTGCATCACCTACTCTAAAAAAGTAGCATTGTTAGATGTCATTAAAGAATTGCATCATGCGAAAGCCATGTGCACCAGACACTCAGCAATCCACATTGACTTGACAATCACTCAATAGATATCAGTCACCCCTCGCCTATAAGCAAGTACATTCATCAGACACTACCCACACTCAACAGTTACCTACTCAACTGATGCCTAGAAAAAAATCAATAGACACTCAACTTACCTGACATCACCCAATACTCATAATTCAACGAGAGCAGACATTCACCAGACACTCCTCACCTGGCATTCACCAGACTCACACCTCTCATCAGACTGTAACCACTCACCAATTACAAGGTACTTTTACCGGGTACTCACCACTTGTACCTGATATTCACCACACACCGTACACCACTCATACACCACTCACTCATACACCACACTCCAGACATTTATTATACATCACTTGCTTGACACCTCACACTCACTAGACACTCACCTGACATCTCTCACCACAGGCACTTCTCAGACTATCATCACTCCCCTATTACATTTTGTAAAAGAAGTTGACTCCACATTCAAAGGTTTCATAAGCATATGGAGTAGTGTGATTTAGCCAGCAGGTGGCGTACCACTCATTCCAAATGTGTCAAGACCATAGACTTGAAGTTTTCGTGACTGCAGGGATCTATACTCCTTGGTTTAATGTGATTAAATTTTTTTTTATTTTTTTATACCTTCGTGACTTTACCGAAAGAACTAAAGAGTAAGACCATAGACCTCTGGTTTCTGCTCACATTGAGCTAATTTGATTATGCATGACTAAGAATGTTAATGTAAATGTTGTGACAGCTCGTCCTATGGACACATGCAGATAATGAGGCTAAGCATTGTGCATCCACCTCTTATTCCCTTGGCCCAGCCCCCTCTCTTGTGAGCTCCATCCCTTCCTCACTATGATTCAGCCTCTTCCCCATTCGCCCTGTCCCTCTCCATTGCCCCCACATTTCCCCAGGGTGGTCCACCACCAGGGTCACAATTTTTTGACCTCGTCTCATGGTAAATTTTATGTATCGTCAAAAACACGAGCATAACAGGCACACATAAAGTAAGCAAAATTAGTGTATAGTCTTAAATTATGCCTTAAAATTATTAAATATTTCCTGTTTACCTGAAGTAAAAAAAAATAAGGAGCATCAGGGCCAGCAGAAATTAGCATGGGACCCAGAATTTGGAGAACTTGAATAGCTTAGCTAGACATAGCAGACTTTTCTTTCACTCTCTTACCTTCTTTTGTCTTTTTCACTGTTTCACAAAAAATACTTGTTTATGACACATGCAGAGAGAGGTCATCAGATTCATTGTCAGGTATAACATCACCCCTGTGATCCCTTTATGCACTGTGGTCTTGCCACAAATGTGCAGACGCAAATCCTTAATAATATACGCTGACTGTGAAAGGAATGTTTCTGTAATATATAATTGTTTAAATACATCGCCATCAGCCATAACCAGCCCACGACTAGATGAAAGACATCCCCAAGCCTGCGCCATCTCCAATGGGCCTACAATGCAAACATCCGCCTCGCACCAGCAAAGGAGTGGATTTTGTTGCTCCATCTTTGCGATGAACATCCCCTCGGATGCATGCTCCCCAGTGGATGCAAATTCAATGTTATGCTTGCTCACAGGCCAAATCCCTTCCAGCGATGTGTCCAGGCCAAGCCCAATTACTTCACAGCAAAAAATGCCTTCAATCTGTGTGTGTTCTCGAATGTGTTTGTGAAAGAAGACATTATTCACTACCTGCATACACTTTTATTACGTAATGTTTAAAATGTTATGTAATGCTTTTGTTGTTGTTTTTTTCAGAACCAGAAATACAAATGGAAGAGTTCGTAGAAGATGAATCGAGGCCAGTATTTCTAAGTTTGTTGTTCAACCTTAGACTTGCTATAAATGTTATTCTCATTATATTAATCAATTAACTATTTTAAAACTTGTTTGAAAGCATCGCATTGGCGTTGTAACCTGCTTGGCACAATTAATCAAAAAGATGATGCAATATAAATAATGCATTGGAATGTATATGGTAAGTCCCTGGAAAATGGGACATTCGTCACGAAAATGTAAATCGAAATTTATTTTTCCATTGACATAATTTTGGGTACATTCCTGGGGGTAATTTTTTGGTCAATTTGCAGAAAAAATATGAAATAAGTAGGAAAAAAGATAACAAAAGATACCCAAATAAATGTTATATAACACGTTTGAATAAGTAATGTAAGGGTTTATACTCTTTGGTTCTTTCGGTAAAGTCACGTAGGTGAAAAAAATAAATACAAATAAACAAGAATAAAATAAAAAATAGAAATAAATAAATCACGACGTTTCGATTGCAACACAAGCAATCATTGTGTTGCAATCGAAACGTCGATTGCAACACAATTTAGCTGCTAGTCACGTGCCGTGCTTGTCCTCAAATCCGCAAATATTTCACGAATTAATGGAATCACGCAGCTAATTCCTCACATAATCCGCAGCACACCACATCTCCGTGAACATATTTCTCCGGATTATAAATCTAACTTACCACTTTTGACAACTTTGACCCTGGCATTTGGTGTTGAACAATAGGCAGGCTTTATGCACTCGTGCAATTTGTACTTATAAACTTTATTTTTATGCATTTTAAACGACTTGCTTACATTTTTCTCCATCTTGCACTTATCTTTTTGTATTGTTGATGTAACTTGCTGACCTGCCCTTACTGAACATCGGTGAAAAAGAGCTTCATAGCTCATTGGATTCCTCCAGGATAAATAAACATTCTGATTCTGAACCTCCAGGGTGTGCCTTTGAATACAGGATCTGTGATGTCATCCCCCAATATCACCACATTACTGGAGGACTGCTGTAGTTTTGAGCTTTGAAGTCTTTTCCATGATTAAGTTACCAAATTTTGTGCAAAACATGTGAAATTAAAGGTAATTAATATGGTCTTTATTGAAAAATATTACTAACTGACTTTTTCTAAAGTTTAAATGATTGATAGTGTTGATTAAAAAGTTCTGCCTTTTCAGGAGAAATCATTTTGTGACCATCATACCATTCAAATGTTCACAAAGGCATAACATGATATTGAGTATATTTATCCATTTGAGCTTATCTAACTAAATACTACCCACATTTGCTCATTATAATGAAGTCTCATTTGCTCATTATAATTATGTCTGATGCTGTGCCCTCATGTCTCAATCGTACAATTGTTTGACATGAACTTTCAAAGGGTCTGTACTCTATACCTTTTGAGGCTTGCTTTTTATATGCTATTGGCGAATGCTGTTGTTGCAGGCCACCTACAGTGCAATCTGCGGCCCGTAAGGGTGGTGAAGATGGTACTGTCATTGAAACAACCAACAATGCTACATCTTCTAGGTATGGTCTTGCAAAATCCAAATAAAAAGCTATCGTGCTAGTTAGAAAAATGTGGTGTGTGGAAATTGGTTTGCATAATAACCCTATCATGGTGTACCATAATATGGTTGCATTTTAGGACTTGAATACAATTGACCTACAATAACTTTAACACATTTATAAATAACAAGCTCAGTATATTCGTAAATAACACTCTTAAAATGTAAACATAATAGATGATGTTTTGGGGAATGTCCCGTCTTCACAACACATGAAGAGGCCAGACTGGAGGTAGATAGCGGCTGGAAACAGCACTTCATGCCGTGGGGCCTGATAAGAATCCATCTTTGCACAGAGTAGCCCAAAAGTCAGCACGAAGGGTATTTTTTTATTTTACCAATTTACATTGTGTTATTTAATTTATTTTAACAAATTTTCAAACGGAATTCTTTTAACATTAATGCATGCACGAATAATCTTTTGAAATTCATTCCGGACTTAAAAAAAAAGATTACAGGTGTAATCTTTGAACATTCAGCAATTATGTTTCATCTGAATTCATTCGTCGAGTTTTGTAAATGACATTTATGGAGACTTTACAGGGAAAATAACAATAGATATTATGAATGATAATAGATAATACTAACCCTTAAAAAATAAACAGTTAAAATGTTTTAATGCCAGTGTTAAAACAAAGGAAATAACCCTATGAATCCTGTTGGACCATCCTGTATAAATAAAATAACTTGGACACCCAAATACCGATTGAACATACATCATCTTCAGCCGTGATCTATACAATCCTATAATAAAGCCTCTCCATGCCAAACCAAATCCTCAAGGTCATGCAATACCACAACCCATTTTCTTCCTGAACTTGGGCTGATCTCATCACTGCATTTTTGTGATGGTCATCCGTTTCAACTTGGTTCTTCTTAAGCTACCATTACATGACAATTAGGCTTGAGCATGCACTGTCCACGTGGTTTCATCAACATTTAGCCTTAACTTGCTTTATCCATTTCAGTCAGGGTTTAAAGCTTTGATACAGCACCAAGACAGCTCTGGTGAGTGTCACCAATAATGTGCTAACATCTGCAGATAAAGGTTTTAGAAAGCATTCTCGTTTTACTTGATCTTAGTGCAGCTTTTGATACAATTGACCACAGCATTTTACTCAAGTGGTTAGAACTCGTGATCGGGGTCTCTGGCACTACCTTACAACTGTACTGCTTGGGAGCTCCTCGCTACTTCGCCGCACTGCAGCGATAATGATACTCATTGGCAGCTCTCCTTCGGTGATAGCGCTGATGCTTCCCAAGCCACTTGTGTGCATTTGGGGCCACGTTGAATGTGGCGCTACATGCAGTCCCCCTGAGGTGACCTTCAAGAGACCCCCTGGCCTGTGAGAAAGCGAGTTTGTCCTCAGCTGTTGTCAGGCAATTCCACCTTTGAGGAGGAGCTGGTCATCCATGACGAGTCTGGCAATCCAGAGCCTTTGCCAAAGCTGAGCGAGGATACTGGGCTTATGCGCCGGGCTGTCCAGCAGGAGCTACACCAGTTTTCTAGGCTGGATTGCACGAGGCACAGTACGAAAAGCTTGGGTTTGTCTTCTGACTTAGCCTGGGGTTTGGAAGACTCAACAGGGGAGGAACGTGCCAGACACTGGGAACTCCCCCGAGACGTTCTGTACTCGCTGCTCAAGAGGATTTGCATGCAGTCTCAAGTTCCCTGAGCTGGAGTCGTTGGAGGAGTCCCTGGAGGATGAGCCTCAATTCTAGAGACAAGCCCTATAAGCACTCCTCACTTCCTTCTCTGGTGTTGTTCGTCTTCAGACCAAGATAAAATAGGCCAAGCCTTCCAAGTTGATGACGTGCAAGCCTTTGCATTGATGCCATCCGTGGATGCAGCAATGGTGTCCAAGGTCTTAACTGGCCACCTCACCCTGCAGGATGAGAGATTACAGATCATTCCTGATCCTATTGAAGAGTTCAAGCGGGGGCACCAGACTGTCAACATGACTACCTGCATAGCAGCTTTTATGGCCTATGTTAGCAAATTTTTCTTTAGGAGCCATGGAGGCTCTACGACTGTGAGTCAGAGGATGGCTACTTCAACAAGGCCTCTCTGGATGTGGAATATGCGGCCAATCTCGCCATTGATACCGGCAGGGACAACTGGCAACCCCCACAATTCTGCATGTGCTTCCGCTGCAAGGAGACGGTGGCAGTGCACACGTTCATGGTGTGCTTGTCCACGGGCAGGCTTGTTCGCCTTTCCCCCTGGAGGCACTAATTTTGTGTGTGATGGCTAGGATAGACAGGCCATCATTTCTCCTGATAATTCCATACTGGATGAGGTGCCCCTGGTTCAATGATGTACAAGAGCTCGTGACCTGGCCACTATGGTTGCTGCCCGTCAGGGAGGATCTGTTCACCCAGAAAGACATATGCTGTCCCGACATTGGGACTTTTCGACTAACTGTGGATGTTAAGAAGCTAAGACTGTCACGTCAGGGATTCACACAAGAGGTTCAATCTCCTCTTTAAATCTAGAACACCCGCTATAGGCAGAATATATGACTGTCACTGGTGTGTCTTCAGCTAGTGTGTGAGTGCGGGCATTGACCCCTTGTCCTGTGACATTCCTTCTATTGCCTCTCACCTCCAGTAGGAATTTCAGGCTGGGAGTTCTACGTCTTACATAAGGGTCTGTAGTTCCACAATCTCAGCTTTTTACGACCCTGTGGAAGCCAGGCTGGTCGGCTTGGTGCTGATCTTGTGTCTTTTAGAGGTCATGGCCATGTTCCCATGAGACCTTAGGCTAGTGCTAGACACTCTTACTTGCCTACTGTGTGAGCCATTGGCCAAGACTCTTAAAATCTTATTTTTGGTTGCCATCAGCAATCCGAAGGATTGGGGAGCTTCAGCCATTACTCAACCACCCTCCCTTCATGAACTTCCAGCCAGACAAAGTGATGTGGATATTGCCCCGTTTTTGCCCAAGTTGGTATCTTTCTATTATTTGCATCAAGAGCTGCATATCTTTACCTTGTATTTGCCACATTTTACGTGGGGTAGCGGGTAGTTTGCAATAAACTACCTCAGGGTGTGACGACCCTGCCTTACGTGAGTCTCAGGCACAGCTGGACTGGCTGTCAGTACCTGGTAACGGCCCCTCCCAGGGTTACGCAGTTTTCTCACTGCCTTGTGAGTGTCTCGGGAGAGTCAATGGCTAAGGGAGTAAACCCCTACAGAAAATCAGGAGTGGGACCCCTTTAGGCGGTTTTGTGATGCACAGCGGCACATTCCCGGCAGCCCCTGCAGCCAAACTGGTACCAAACATCGTGCTACGCACTCCTTTGGATCTCACCAACAAGGCTTGAGGGGGGGATCTTGACGCATGGGCAACCCAGGATTTCAAGAATAACCTGCCCGGGCTTTGTGCCAACAAGATGTGCAAAAATGGGGAGAGGACACTGTTCGGCCACCTAATCGTGGCCAAGAAACACGGATGGCAGCAGTCACGGGTTATAAGCTCATTTTAGATTGCCGTAAAAAAGTGGGAGGGGTCATTGCACCCCAATGGATAGCTACCGCCCGCCTCAAGCTGGGCAGCCCCCGGCCAATAAGGTGCTTTCCCACCACGGCTCACCTGCTCCAATGGGTGCTTGGAGCTTATGGTTCATCACCAGACAAGTTTGGCTGCAACACCTGCACCAGACAAAAGCAAAACAAAAGGAAAGAAGGTTCCAGCCCTTCATTTTGCAAGCTGGAATGTACATACAATATGTTCTGGACTCTCTGAAGATCTATTGCAGATTGAGGACATCCCCAAGACTGCAGTTATTGACATAGAGCTGGCGAGACTCCATGTGGGTATTGCAGCACTGCAGGAGACCCAGCTTGCTGGCAGTGGCTCACTACGAAAGAGTGACTACACTTTCTACTGGCAAGGCAAACAGCAGAACGAACCAAGGCAACACGGTGTTGGGTTTTCCGTCAAATACACACTCCTTGGCATGCTAGAACCACCAACCGCAGGCTCCAAGCGGATTCTGCTCATGAGACTGCGCATGGCGCTCCTGAAGTACAAGCAAGTTCCAAGTATAGGATCATTGGGGGCTCTGAAAGCTGCCCGGAGTGCAGCTCAAACAACCGCCAGACTCTGCGCCAACAACTACTGGCTGAACCTCAGCAGTAGGATACAACTCGCCTCTGACACTGGTAATATCCGTGCCATGTATGAAGGCATCAAGACAGCCTTTAGTCCAACCATCAGGAGGACTACTCCCCTGAAATCCAGCACAGGGGCCATCACCCCTGATAAACAAAAGCAAATTGCCAGGTGGGTAGAACACTACTCAGAGCTCCACTCATGAGACCAAGGTGTGTCAGAAGTTGCCCTTGCTGCTGTAAAGCCCCTACCAACGATACACGAACTGGACAATGTTCCAACCTTGAATGAACTTCACAACGCCATCAACTCACTAGCCAGCGGCAAGTCCCCAGGACAGAACGGCATCACACGTGAGGCACTGAAATGTGCGAAACCCGCCATCCTCACAAAACTCCATGAACTTATCTGCCAGTGTTGGGAAGAAAGAGCAGTGCCTCAAGTCATGAGAGACTCCAACATCATCACCCTATATAAAAACAAGGGTGACCGTGGGGACTGCAATAACTACCGTGGCATCTCCCTGCTGAGCATCGTGGGGAAAACCTTTGCCCGTGTGGTCCTCAGCAGGTTACAGATACTAGCTGAGAGGACGTATCCTGAAGCTCAGTGTGGCTTCAGAGCATGAAAGTCCACAATTGACATGCTCTTCTCCTTGCGTTAGCTACAGGAGAAATTTCAAGAACAGAGAATGCCCCTGTACTTGTCATTAATTGATCTTACAAAAGCCTTTGACCTCATCAGTAGGGGAGGCCTCTTCAAACTCCTCAAAGTGATCGGCTGCCCACTGAAGCTGCTGGCAGTCACTCCTCTTTCCATGACGACATGCAAGGAACAATACAGCACAGCGGCACCACCTAAGAGGAATTTGCCATACTCAGCGGTGTAAAGCAGGGTTGCGTGCTTGCCCCAACACTGTTTGGCATCTTTTTCTCACTTATGCTCACACATGCCTTTGGGACAGCAGAAGAGGGAGTCTTTCTCCATACAAGATCTGATGGCAAACTCTTCAACCTTGGCCGTCTCAGATCAAAAAACAAAGTCCGCAAAGGCCTCATAAGAGAACTCCTATTCACTGATGATGCTGTGCTGACAGCTCACACAGAACAAGGTCTGCAGACACTCATCAACCACCTTGCCAATGCCTATAACAACTTTGGTTTGACAATCAGTCTGAAAAAAAACAATGTCATGGGCCAGGATGTCAGAGACACCCCTTCCATAAACATTGGCAGCTACACCCTGGAAGCCGTTCAGGACTTCACCTACTTGGGTTCCACCATCACCTGCAATTTGTTCCTTGTCACAGAGATTGACAAGCACATTGGGAAGATGTCTACATCTATGTTCAGGTTGACCAAAAGAGTGTGGGAGAACAAATCCCTAACGCTCAACACCAAAGTACAAGTGTACCGGGCATGTGTCCTTAGCACCCTTCTCTATGGGTCTGAGTTCTCGGCAACATCCGCCCATCAAGAACATCGACTAAACACATTCCACCTCGTGTGTCACAGGCACATCCTCGGTATCAGATGGCAAGTTCGCATTCCCAACACCTCAGTGCTCAACTTGGCCAACATTCCCAGCATGTACTCTCTACTCAGTCATAGGCGCCTGAGATGGGTTGGACACGTGCGCCGCATGCAGGATGGCAGAATACCTAAGGATGTCTTGTACAGCGAGCTGGCATCAGACACACGGGCCACTGGTTGCCCAGTCCTGCGCTTCAAAGATCTCTGTAAACGGGACATGAAGAGCTGCGACATCAACCCAAATGACTGGGAGAAAACTGCCGGCGACCGACTCAGCTGGCTGCAGGCTGTGAAAACAGGCCTCAGGAGAGGCGAGGAGAAAATACACACTGCTTGGCAGACCAAGAGGGAGCGACGTAAAGAAAAAGCAATAAATCCCTCTGGAGCTGCCACCGCATTCACTTGCAATTGCTGTGGCAAGGATTGCCACTCAAGGATTGGCCTACTAAGTCATTCTAGGTGCTGCAAAAATCTACAGCTGACCTCGTAAGGTGCAAAAGAATTGTCTCTTGATTGAGACACACAGACCTATGATGATGATGACATCGGACAGACAATGGCTGCTGCACTCTGCATGTTGTAGTTCTATTTACATATCTCAGCTGGTTGGCACACTTCACAGAAATTGTTCGTGTATTAGTTCAGTTCAGCCGTCAACCGCTCTGATATTTTACTCCACAGTGCCTATTGCACATGGGCATTTGTGTGCTCGATCACACAAGGCTGATGGATGTTTTGAGTTTTACCCTCTTTTTAGTGGTCTGCACCAGGCCGTTGCTAGGTGCTAGCCCCCTTCTTTCACCCTCTCTCTTCATCCTTTCGTTCTTCAGAGAGACTGGTCGAGTTCTGTTTCGAACTCCCATTATAACACATTCCTGCGGAGGGAGCTGGTAGGAACGTTGGGTTGCTCGGTCAATGGCCAGGGTCAACGGCGGCGTGGTGTATTCCGCAAATATGCCTGACTGTGAGGGCGGGCACAAGCCGGCGTGAGTAGGTTAAACGTTGAGTTTTATAAGGGCACCACGGGGTGACCAGCCCCTCCCCACCCAGCCCCACCCCTCCCACCCCCCACCCAGCCCCACCCTCCCCACCCCCCACCCAGCCCCACCCTCCCCACCCAGCCACACCCTCCCCACCCAGCCCCTCCCCACCCTCCCCACCCAGCCCCTCCCCACCCTCCCCTCCCCACCCAGCCCCTCCCCACCCTCCCCTCTCCACCCAGCCCCACCCCTCCCATTTTATCCGGGTGTCTGGATACACGTGGACAGACATCCACAGACATACACAATTAATCTCCTGCCTCCTGTGATAATCCCGGTTGGGCATCCAGTCCACTACGTTTCCTACCAGTAATGCCCACTAGGAGCGCATTTGTTATATATCCGGGTGTCCGGATACACGTGGACAGACATCCACAGACATACACAATTAATCCCCTGCCTCCTGTGAATTAATCCCGTTTGGGATTCCAGTCCACTACGTTTCCTACCAGTATCATCACAATCTGGCACTCATTGCTACCTCCGAAAGCTGTCTACATCATATTCGTTACCTTTAGGAATAATACTTACATGAAATACGGACCAAGCTGTAGATGCCGACAATGGCTGCCAAAAACAGTTTTTACTAAGGTACACAAACTCCTTGTTCTCTCTTTGTAATTTCCAGCATGCATCTCACCATCCTCCTTTGTACTTTTCAGCATTTTATTTGTCATTGTTCTTGTTTCTGAAACATTTGTCATGTACACGATGACTGAAAATTAATGTATTATTTGCTTGTTTCATGCCCATGTGTGATTCGTTTAGCTTAAACAAAATCCAAGGATCCGAGGAAGCTAGTGAGCAAGAGATACTGAAGATTTGTGAAGGGACAGAAAAGCCACAAGTGGAAACTTCTGATTCCCACGCTCAAGATCCAGTAACCCTGATTGCCCCCTCAGTTCTTAGACCAACTGAAGGGCAATCTCCTCTGCCCAGATCCTGCCAGAATGAGCCCATCCGACAAAAAGAACAGACAACTGAACCAAATCCTCTGGATGAGCAAGAAGAAATGGAAGTGGACTCTTCAGCAGCTAGGAATGAGGCTGTAGACCCTGGATTGGGAAAGGTTGAATGGGAGAAGAACGCAGCTGATAATGTGCATGTTGGTGAGAAAGCTGCAAGTGGAGTTGGTTTGGAGGAGGAAGCTGGCATGACGGAGCATGCTGCATTATTTGCTCAGACATCTTCCTGCACATCTGGGTTATCTGAGACAGCTGGTCAAACCAAGGAGACCCAGACAGAAAGCAGAGTTGGATTTAATGGTAAGAAGCAGTTTTTAATGGTAATTCAGATTTATTTTTTACGTAACCCTTCCAGTGGAATCCTATGACTATTGTTACATTTAATATGGTTAAAATTCTGTAAATATCACCTGCTGTAACGCTTTATGACATTTTTCTCATCTTGACAATTGTTAGTTTTTGGTCAAATGTTGGTAAAAATATGGCGATGTCCCCATTAATACCAGTGGAAACTGCCATATGTTATATTTATCAAGTTTCACTAATTGCCAATTAAGGGTTGTATAGAATCGATATAGAATGTATCATAGAAATTACGTTTTCTCAGTATGTTGTCTCATACAATAAGCCACCCGGAGATTTTTACAAATAGTAGAATTCTCAAAGAAGATTTTGCATGTTAATTACTCCTAGACATTGGCATTATGATTTCTAACTGCAGTTTGTAACAGCCAATTTTAAAGAGTTTACATAATTGAGAACATGCTGCAAATATTTTCCTATTGCTGGATTGCTCTTTTTGTCAAAGCTTAATTAAATACAATTAATTTTTGTTATAAATAATATAGTGATGCTTTGTGTTAAAGTTCCTTTGTAAAATAAAATACAGCCAAAAATGTGATCAAGAAACAGCCATTGGCTTTTATAAAGTACTAGTTCATAAAGCCTGTCTTCGCCAGGCAAAAGTATTCAATAGCTATAATAATTAACCTGATAAACAAACATGTTTATGGGGCAGTTAAAATCGAGATTTGGGGGCCTTAAAATTGAAAATGTGGGATTTTCAGATTTTCTTGTTGTTTATGTTCTAAACGCTACATATGTACCACATTTTAGCTTTCTATCTTGTCGGGAAGCACCCTATAGGTTTTTGAGACATACAGATTAAGGTCTTTATACTGATAGATTCTTCATGGAGACGTGTGTATATGTTGTGTAATGAGTACACAAGGATTTGCAATGATTAGGTGCTTGAATGTCATGGCCTCTCAAGGTACCTACACATATATGCGGTGTATATGCACATATATTCTTTTAACGAGTAAAATAAAAGTTAAGTTTTAACATATATTTCACCTTATTTAGTTGTAATCTTGTTTAAAAGTTGATGTTTACAAACAATGCGAATGAATATGGCTGGTGTAACTTTGTGTGCAGTGGGAGTTGAGAGAGGCCTGGGCTTGACAAAGCTACGGAACATTGCTGTGCAGACGAGGGAGGATGGAGAGAGCACAAGCCATGGCACAGAGGGGGAGGCCGATACAGTCTCTCTCCACAGTCAGGTAACCCTCAAGAGCCTGATACAGTCTCCTTTCAGAGCCAGGAAACCCTCACTCGCCTGATACAGTCTCCCTATACAGCCAAATCATCCTGACTAGGTTCTCAAAGTAAGGTCTTGGGCCGACTACAGCCGGTCCAGAATGCGGCTGCCAGGATGCTCACACGAACCTCATCCCGTAAGCACATTATCCCTATAATAGAATATCTGCATTGGCTTACAATTAAATTTCAGGTACAATTTAAAGTATTGCTGCTAACATTCAAGGCCTTAAATGGCCTTGCACCATTTACATGTTTAGTGACTGTGAATGTCACTGTGTGGTGCCGGCCTTGTGAGGCCACGGCAGATAATATGTTGTCATGTGCAGCCCGGTTACTGGGTTTAGTACCAGCCCTAGCGGGGCTTGGGTGAGCGCTGGTTAGCGCAGAGGCACCACGTACAGTGTGCGGTGCGGGCTCCCGGTGAGAGAGCGAGAGAGAGTGTCAGCCAGCCAGGGTTACGTTGGGGCATGATACGCTGGTTGATCTGCCGACACATGACCAGATGATATTGGAGGGGGGCCACGGGTGGACAGGGGCCGCTGGGTGGTCACGTGGTATAGAGGAGCTCTCGGGAGCATTCGGGAAAGAGCTCGAGAGATCTAGAAGGTGGGCGGGGTGAGAGGCGGAGCCAGCCCTAGCCCGGGCCGATATAACAGGGGCCTTGTGTGGGGCTCGGGGTTCTTGACTGTTGGTGAGTGAAGATCCACGTCGGGTTCAAGAAGTCTCTAGCCACGCGGTCCGGGATCCAGCTTGTGGTCTGGACCGGAATAGCGAACCGAGTCTAGTTCTGCCGTAGCGTGGTTAGATGGGCATTCAACACCCGAGTGTTGGTTACGTTATGTTGTGTTGAGTTGATGTAATAAATAGTGTTGCTCCCAAGACAACGTCTGCGACTCAGTTGGACTCACTACAATTGTATTAATGCGTGTGCAAACGTACATGATATAAGGAGCTTGGTGATTTTTCGCCACACACCATTATTGACAACGTTACTTCATATTTGTTGACTGTCTTTTCACCTGCTTCAAACTGCTTTAAACTTCTAATATAACCTGTAGATTAATACTTAGCCTTTTTTGTCAGAGGCACTATCATCATTTACTGTGCATTTTTCACTCTTTGTACATTTTTAACTATGACCTTGCACTATTTTTCTTACGAAAACAAAATCGTGGGCTTGGCAGACGGAGGGATTTTCAGTGGTACGCGGTGTGCGCAAGCGCAATGTAATATACGTTAAAAAAATGTGTTTTCACCACGTTCATTCCGAGTTAATCAGCAACGTATATGTGAAACAACTCATTTTACGGTAACTTGTAGTGGAGAGGATTACTGTACCATCTTTATGTCTACTGATGTTATTTCTTTCTAGAATACATTTCAGATCTTGTAGATTCCAAACGTTACTTGAGAAAAACACTGTGGCTTTGAGAAAAGGGGAAAGGCTTTCATGTACAGAAGGTTAATTATATCTAGCTTGAGTAATCTAAATTTGTGCACGGTCAAGAGTGAATTAAAACATGTTTTGTATAGTTCCTAAATTAACGTGTTACGACTTGACCAGTATACTCGTATGTGTGGAGTGTCTTATGGGGATGCAGCATTATCATACCAAAGCATTTAAATAACATAGAGTTTAACTATTGTACATGTTTTACCTTTGTCAGTGTTATAGTAATACGTTTTTACCCTTTTATCTGGCACAAAAACTGACACCTTTATACAAGGGATCATGTTTGCAATAACCACAACACAAGTAGTCAAAATGCAAACAAAAAAGACAACTCTGATAATATGCACTGTCCTTGAATTTGATTGGTCCACACCTGAGACGGCTTTTCTTAGAGCCCAGTCTCCACTGGTGTTGGACCAGTTTTTGTGCCAGATAAAAGGGTAAAAACCTATTACTATATCTTGTTACTGGCAAAGGAGGCCTCATAATGTTTGTCAGTGTTCCCAATGCAGTTTATTTCATACTTTTATTGAACCTGCCATGTCTTTATATTCTTTCAAATCTTTGACGCTTAATATCTTCGGATCTACGAAGCCTAATGAGCTGACATTTTCTACACATCTCGCATGACAATTCAAGATTTCATTTAAAAAAGTTCCTGTTCCCGCCGATCCTGGGCCTATTCGTTTTTTCCTTAATTTGAATATTTAATACTCGAACATTCTGCCGCCCAATTTCAAATCACGAATGCTCGTGCTTAGCTACTCAGGGAAACATCTTGTCTAATCAGAGCTGCTGTTGTTCGGGAGCCTATGACCAATGAAAGGAGCGCTTATATCGCCGCTCGTTATGGCGCTGGAGCGGCCGCTGTGGTTCCCTCTGCCTTAGCGGAGGAACAAGAATGAAAATAATAATTAGTACCATCGCTATTGATAAAATAATTATATAGCTATAATAGTAATATATAATCTAATTTGCTTTGTCACGCCCATTCCAACACGCTGAGCGCAACATGGTTATGCACAAGTTAAGCGAGCAGGTAAAAACCATGACCATGATTTAAAATAGCAGTTAAATAGTTAAAATAGTTTTCACGGTAAAAAATAGGTAAAAAGCAAGTTTTTTCAATGCACATACTTTTATTTGTACTCAAAAGTAGAAAATACATTATGTTGCCCCCAGAATTAATCACATTTGATGTGCTAAATAAAAGTGGGTGGCTTCCTTTCGATATGTATAATTTGCTTTATGCATGCCACCCACTTATTTTCTACTTTTGAATGCAAATAAAAGTGTGTGCATTGAAAAACTAGTTTTTGTTACCTATTTTTTTTGTCATGTCGTCTCCTGTATGTATTCTGTTGTGTGCTAAATTTGTTGAAAGTGATGTGCGCATGCATTTTTTACACACGTGTTGGCATTTGAATGAGCACATTCCTGCTTGTACGCACGTGTGTGTGCTGGGGTGCCAGGAGGAAGACAGTTTGCCCTTACCAGCCCCAGCACCCGGGAGGCTGGTGCACAGGCACGTGCGCACAATTCGCGAGGTGAAAATCACTCGTGTCATCACCGACGTCTACTACGTCAATGGCAAGGAGGTGGAACGGAGGGTCACTGAGGTACGTCATTCTTAAATAGTGTCACGCAGTACAGAAACATGCTGTGCGGAAATTTATTTGCCAACATAAAGCAACTAGAATGTAGAGTTCAGTAACGTTTTTTCTAACGAAGAAATATGTATGCTATATTTAGGCAGGTATGATATTGGTGTGATTGGTTATCAATCTTTACAACCACAAACCTTTGAATGATATTGATCCATGCAAAATGGTTGGTCCAATAAGAATTAGCTCTGTTATGTCCTGACATTACTGACTGACCTTTCTGAAAAACGCAATAATTTGTGAAATCGTATCATGAATATGCAGCATGGATGCTGTAACAAAAATAACAATTGGGAAAATTACAACTGTACTATCAGATTTCACCTAAATAAAGATAGGGCCAACAATGGGCCTGGCCTTTTAGCATTGGGGAAATTCAATTATTGCAAAGGAGCAAGTAGGCGCTTACAAGAATGCATATTTTTAAGATTAATGGATGAAACCAAACATCTTATGCTCTAACAGCACAATGGAAGGCCATGCCAGATGTGTCGGTTTTTCTGTAACGCCTTTTTTACTTTATCTTGACCTGTGTGACTTCATTTTTGCCTAAACCTACATGCAACTGATGAGGATTCTCACTGACTTTTATAGGTGTTTTATTGTCTTACCATGTGAAAATGTGGGCTTTGTGATTGTGTTGGTTTTGATTGCAGGAGGCAGAAGCACCAATTGTGGAACGGCAAGAGTATGAGCAGAGCACAACATCGCCCTCCCGCACCGTGAGCTCGCTCACGTCCGGTGACCTGGCTGACGTCAGCTCATTGTCCACCAAGGTGTCCAACGGGACGGGCAGCCTGCAGAGGACCGGCAGCAGCACGTCTGGTGGAGGCCACTCGAGTGTCAGCCTCAACCGCTCCGGTAGTGGGGGTACATTAGCAGATCCACCCAGCGCCAGCCTCCAGAGGTCAGGGAGTGATGGATCTGGTGGCCACAGCAGCGGGGGCCTCCACAAGCCATGCGCAGCAGCAGCAGCAGCCGTCGGTGGGCACAAGTCCACAGACAAGGGCCACCACACCTCCAAGAAGGACATGGAAATGGAGAAAGATGTTTCCACAAACATCCGCGGCAGTGGTAGAGCTGTCTTTGAGGACAACAGGGGAAAGCAGAGCAGTAAAAGTACACTTCTTAAAGTGCAAGCTGGGCGTGGCTGTGAGGAGGTCTGGGGGGAGGGAGCACGAGTCGGATACTCCAGACATACTCACAGCATGCCACGGACAACGCGGGGCAAAGGCAGGGGCCGTGGCCACCGTGCACCGAGGTGTGTGTTATTACCATATTTGTGCTCTTATTCATTCTGCATACCCAGCATGTCACTGCTGTCTTGTTCCATGCCATAAAATATTCTGTTTGGAAAATCATGGAATTCATTACAAGTTCTTTAATCACTCATCAGGTGTTGTCAGCGGTGGTCACTAAACACTTTAAAGAGAGGCCAGTTTAATTATTATTATGTTGGTTGTGACTAATGGCACATGAAAGGGCTGGTCACAGAGAAATGTGACAAGGGCTGATTGGGTTGAGAAGTGATTTGTGGGTGAAGCAGATAGCGTTGTTGTTATAGTGTATAATTACATTATATATGCTACAGCTGGGCCTTATCATCAAGTAGCCAATTCAAGACGAATATTTAAGATACTTGCACATATAATGAGATCTACAGATAGCACAGTAGCACAATACTAGAAGTGCAATAGATTTGTGTTGCTTGGCAGTTACGTAATATAATATGAAATTTATTGTGGGAAATAATTTAGCATTGTTGTTTCAGTACATGTTTACAAATTAACAAACGAATTGGACTATTAATGAATACAAATTTACTGCGGCAATACCAAGCACAATAATCCCGTATGGTAACATGCTTTAACAACAATTTTGCCAAAAATTCACCAACTTGGTGTCCCATTAAGATCAATACAAAGTACAATCGGTTCTGCTACATACACATTCGAACAATATGTAACAGGACAAATACAGCCTCAATGACAGCACCCTCATTAAAAAAACTTAACAACTGGTGAATATAATTAACGCTTTTAAACTTAACCTGAATGATATTCTGGTCAGTTTTAATGTGATTTCTCTGTTCACCAAGGCCCCAATTACTGAGTCGATTACTGAGTCGATTAAGATATTAAATTATTTGGTTCATAATGGTTTACCTAAACACATCTCACAATTGGCTGAACTCTGCTTAAGTAACACATTTTATTTACAGAGAAGATTTTTTGTTACAAACAAAATGAAGGAGCATCAGTAGTGGGTTCTCCGTTGTCTCCTGTTGCTGCTAATCTACACATTAATTTTTTTAAAGCAAACGCGCGAGCTTCAAGCACACTACTAAACACATCTCATTGGTTTTGATATGTGAATCACACACTTGTCTGGCCACGTGCTAAAAATACACGTAATGAATTCCTAAATCACCTCAATTCATAAATCCCATCCATCCACTTTACCATGTAAGTAGAAGAGGCAAACACCCTCCCATTCCTGAATATTCTGCTTGGCCAAATGGAAAATTAACACGTCGTTCATCACAACAAAAATCCTCTCATACATCAGGGAAAAAAAACTATGCCAAATGATGAAAATATCAGGGGTCAGAATCAACAAGTAAAAAAAAAGCACGATAGTTGAATGGATGTAATAATGTATAAATAACCAGAGCAGTGAGTTAATAAAAGAAGTCGACATGAAAAATTCAATTAATATGATCAAACTCCCGTATATTATGGGAGCCACTCATTAATTCACTCAATTTTTGGAAATAGAAAACTTTTTAGTGAAATCTGGCCCAGTACACAAAACACAACAATTTATCTGTGGTACCAAGGATGATTTGCCCAAACTAACAACAGAACGAATTTACCAGATTACTTTCACTTGTGGAAAATGCTGTGTTTGCCAGATTGTACAATAATTGCACAAGGATAAAATTAAACCACATGATCATCAAATCCTCACAAAAACAATTGTTGGCAGTTACAGAACATGCTTGCCAACAAGGACATTACATTGATTTTCATAATGTTGATGCACTCCAAGACTAATTAGATAATTTTTTAATTGAAAGAAATAAAAAAATACTTCCAGCTGACAGCTCAAGGCCAAGTATGGCTAGGAAAAGCAACATGAACTCAAACTAACAGCACGATAACATGACTAACCATTTAGTATAACTAATTAACCATGGCTAACCAATATCACCACGTAAATGTATCCCTCATTAGCATCAAACATTATTGTAATCTTACACAACCATCGAGTATAATTAACTATGTTTCACCATTTAAGTATACGGACTTTAATATTATCTTATCTAACTTAATATATTATAAGCTAACAACATGAATTATGTGACTACAGTAACCTCTAGATATAATTTTCTGCCATTGCCTGCTCCTTTGTGAGGACACAGTGATGACATCACAACACCTTATTCATATTCTTAGTTCTTTCGGTAAAGTCACGTTGAAGGGAAACAATAAAATAATAAAATATATATAAAACAATAAAAATTCTCACGACGTTTCGACCATAACACAAACGGTCGTCATCAGGTGTGTCGGTTTGCATAAATGTATATATTTTTTAACGGTTTATTTATTTATTTAAAAAACGTTACCGCCACGCGCAGCGATTTGGCAGTTTATTTAGAAGGACTAGTCCATCTATGTTCTGAAAAGAGGAGGGGGGAGACGAATTTTTTTTTAATGTATGCTGTCTGAAAGCCACTGTAAGCGTGAACAATCAATTAAGACCTGAAATGGTTTATCAAATCTTTCCAATGATTGCTAAGCCAGAATCCATTTCTCAGTTGAAATTGTCTCTGTGCTTGTATATGTGGATAGCCTCATGAACAAATCTCTCATGGTAGCCAGATGGCTTACAAAGAACCTCTGTCTTGGAAAAGTCAATGTCATGTGAGCCTACTGAATTATAACAATGATCTGCCACGGCCGAGGTGTTGGTCCTACCGTGTTTAAGGTCTGCTTTGTGTTCACGAATGCGGTCCGAGACATGGCGTTTGGTTTCTTCAATGTAACTACTACCACAGAGGCAACTTAGTTTGTAGACACCAGGGTATTGTATGTCCGGAATCACATCTTTTACAGATGGAACCAGATCACGGATTTTTTTAATGTCTGAAATCCTGCGTCCTTTCACTGGAAAAAACACCTCTGCGGTACAAAATTCTACTCACCTGGTATCGACAATCAAGGGTATTTCCCTGTCCCCAGGCGACCTGCTTGTCAGTTTTGATGTAGTTTCCTTATTCACCAAGGTTCCTGTACCTGACACCATCGAAATCATTGAAGACTTGGTTCATCAAGGACTAAACACTAAGGTACCCCCCCTGGTGAGACACTGTTTAACCAATACATACTTCACTTGGAATGGAACTTTCTACAAACAAACTGAGGGCACCCCAATGGGCTCCCCCTATCTCCGGTTATAGCTAACATTTTCATGGAGAAATTTGAGACAGACGCCATCCAGACTGCCACTCTGCGCCCAACCTTATGGAAGAGGTACGTGGATGACACTTTTGTCATCTGGCCACATGGCCGGCCTGCTCTAGACCAATTCTTCGACCACATCAATTCCATACACCCAGCCATCAGATTTACCATGGAAGTCGAAAAAGATGGCAAGCTACCTTTTTTGGATGGCCTAATTGAAAAGAGACCTGATGGTTCAATGAGCCACTGTCTACAGGAAAGCTACCCATACGGATGCTTATCTGAAACCGGATTCCCACCACCATCCATCACAGAAGAATTCTCTCATCAAGACTCTGTATCATAGAGCCCAATGCATATCCGACCAGGAACACATAGGCAGTGAACTCAAGCACGTACACCAAGCTCTTAAGGCTAATGGTTACTCCGACTATACAATCCGCAAAGCTATCACTCAAACCATGAAGAAGGACCCTCTTGAGGAACCTTTCAAAACCATCACTTTACCCTACATTGCGGGGATCACAAAAAAGATCTCCAAAATCTTGAATAAACACAAGATCCAGGTCCGTTTCAACACATTACATAAAAATCCGTGATCTGGTTCCGTCTGTAAAAGATGTGATTCCGGACATACAATACCCTGGTGTCTACAAACTAAGTTGCCTCTGTGGTAGTAGTTACATTGGAGAAACCAAACGCCATGTCTCGGACCGCATTCGTGAACACAAAGCAGACCTTAAACACGGTAGGACCAACACCTCGGCCGTGGCAGATCATTGTTATAATTCAGTAGGCTCACATGACATTGACTTTTCCAAGACAGAGGTTCTTTGTAAGCCATCTGGCTACCATGAGAGATTCGTTCATGAGGCTATCCACATATACAAGCACAGAGACAATTTCAACCGAGAAGATGGATTCTGGCTTAGCAATCATTGGAAAGATTTGATAAACCATTTGAGGTCTTAATTGATTGTTCACGCTTACAGTGGCTTTCAGACAGCATACATTAAAAAAAAATTAATCTCCCCCCTCCTCTTTTCAGAACATAGATGGACTAGTCCTTCTAAATAAACTGCCAAATCGCTGCGCGTGGCGGTAACGTGTTTTTTTATAAATAAATACACCGTTTAAAAATAAATAAATTTATGCAAACCGACACACCTGATGACGACCGTTTGTGTTATGGTCGAAACGTCGTGAGAATTGTTATTTTTTATATATATTTTATTGTTTCCCTTCAACGTGACTTTACCGAAAGAACTAAGAATATGAATTACTGCAGTCACGAAAGCTTTAAATTAAAAATCACACCACCTGTTTAAAGCCCAAGACTGGATGATATTTTTACAATTATGGCAACTGCCTGATGATGCTGGTTCTCGCTACTACTGAAACATCGTATCCAATTGTTAAATCTCATGGATTGCGCTCCAACACCGTGTGCGAAATCTGTGTTCACGTGACAACTTTATTGATTGGCTGTGTTGGGTAGAGGAGGGTTTATGATGCATTTTTTCACCCAAAAATCTATTATAAATTATGATATTCCTCGTTAAAGCATACGTCTTAAATTTACTAAAGTGGATACTTAGAAATCTTTACCCCTACTAGCAGACTCATGCCCCAGGTTACTTGTAAATGAGACTATCTTAGTCTCTTGACTTCTCACCAGGTTAAACACAATAAGATCAGATGTAAATACAAACCTATTTAAAATGTATAGTATCTTGTTATCAATGTGTGCGTACATGTTTTTATTTTGCAGGAAGCGTTATGCTTGGCAGGGTCAACGAAGCGTTGCTCCAATTATGTTTTTGGAGCCAGATACCGAATGGGAAGAGATTGCAGGTGATGGAGATGCAGGGGATGAGGATGATGCGGATCCAATTGAGCCAGAGCCCACAGCAGAGTGGACACTAGTAGCAGACCGTGGTCCCCAAGCCAAGAACTTAAAGCGTGCGACTGAATGCAGCACCATACCAGCAGCTGCCCGGGGGAGCTCTGATGGAGACATGCAATCAGATGGGTAAACATGAAACTGCACAGCCACTGAAATTAATTCAGTAGTAGCCCTAAAGCTGTGGTAGTAAGAATATTTTAGAATGCAAGCAATTAATAAATTAATTGGGTTTTAACTATATAATTAAATGCTAGTTTTATTTACAAATCTTATCTTTTACTCTAAGACTTTTGATGTGGGAATAATAATGTGTAAAAAACTGATATTGTAATGTGGAATACCATATCTGTAATATCAGGTTTTCAAAAAAATTCCCCCACCCCTTTCTGATTGACACCTTAGTTCTTAGAACACATTTAGTGCCTGCCAGTTTACTTCTAGCTTTGCTATATTGTTCCTCAATGCATTCTCCTTAGTCCTTGGCATCTGTTAGTTGTGCATATAAACCTCGATAATTAGTTATTTAATCACGATTTTCTTTTTGTGATTTAAACAATATAAAAAATTCTGAGCATAGTTTGATGAATAAAAATGTATTCTGAATATTGCGGTGAGTGTAATGCTTCTAGTGATTTCAGGAGTCACGTGAACATTACATATAGTTACAAGAAATGTAAACAATTTATTCTCATACAATTGTATAAATCCATTGTGAAACGAGTAATTGATTCTAACTGATTAATCTACGCATTGTTACATGTCTATTGGTAGATCTTTCCAACATATAAAAACTATCTAAGTAAGAAAATGTAGCAGTTATATTGCTATTTTCTTAAATTGCTTATGCATCTTTCTCTTGCTAAAACATTTTATCTACAAGCTACACTTCTAGTGCCTGGTTCATCTGTTTAAAAATGTATCTGCCAGTCATGTTTGACATCAACATGCCAATGACTGCATCACCAACAATACAACGGATGGACAAGCTGATATGTTTGGTCTGTTTTGTCACGATGTGAATCTGGCCTTTGGTGTCCCAGATCTGGTTTTAGGTTTTTCACTTTGTCACTGACCTCTGGGTGGGCACTGGAGTGCCTGTTTTGATAACCTGCTGCCATCTATCTTGCATAGAATCCCAACTTATCCCAATGCATCTGTGTCTCAGCGACATTAAAACATGCTCACAAAGCCAGACTGCAAACTTTGCAATCAAAATGTTTTACCTTTTCTAAAGCATCCTTGATTTTGGTAAACTTCTTTTTCTAGTTACCGGCTGAAATAACCGCTGGTAACCAACTAGTACCAAAACAATTATATGGTTGTAATGAAGACTAAGCATAAGCAAAATATATGCGTTTGTGGTTCACTGTGGTAAGTCTTGACCAACTTCCAGAATTACCTGTAATTACTAACAATATTGGGGAGTGTTGATTGTTCATCCACTGGGCAATGGATACATCTGTGTTTGATTCCCAGTCACATAAACATTAGTGATATCTGTAACGAGTCCTTCACTAACCCACACTAACTAGTGTGGTGAAGTGTGATCAAATTTTTTATTTAAAACTTTCGTGAGTGAGGAATTCATATTCTTTGGTTCTTTCGGTAAAGTCATGTAGATAGAAAACAACAAAATATAGGCTTTCAGTAGGTTGACAAACAATTGTTATATCTTTTTTTTATACTAACAATATACCTTGCTGAACTATTTATCCATCTGCTGAGCTGGGAGGATTTTTCTTTGACAAACTCTCGACTGGGCAATATTGGTGTGATAAAGAAATGTTTCTAATTGGAGTGATGCTTTGCTTATTCGCAGTGGAGTCATCCCGGGCCCAGAGTGGCTAACCGCCGACTCCGGGGGCCCCTGTACAAGTCGAGCTGCGTTGGCTGCTGCCGGGCCCTTTCGTCGCTCTTCCCTGCAACGCTCAGCCTCGCCGCTCATGCATCTTCAGGCAGAGGTGAGACCTCAATGTTTTAAATGTCTTAGTGTGCTTTGTCACACCGAGAATGTTTTCATTTAGATTTTATGTAACTTAAAAGGATTGCCACATTTATTTCATTTTTAACCCTCTTTAAGCAGCAGAGTTAACTTACCTTACCAGGCACTAACCTCCAAAGGTATAGAGAATGATTTACTTCATTCGACCTGACCACGATACGGTTTACTTTTTTGGTTATCGGTCACGATCAGTGACAGAGCTGACACATTGGTGCAATATCAATCCAACTGAACTCAAGAATAATTTTTGTCAGCTGTCTGTGATGGTATTATATGGTCCTGTGTATCTACAGAACTGTTCTTGTTTTTGTTCAGTTATCTCTAGAAAAAAAAAATGTGTTACCACTGGCAATGGTAGAGCCTGGATTTTTAGGTAGGGGGGCAACCCCTCCAGCAATGAAAAATGATAGGAGTTGTTAGTAAGTAAAGACTTGTCCCTTACTTTTTATTCGACGCGTGTGCGGCGATGGCACAGCCATCCATCGAGGGTCGAATTCGAACCGTGTTTGATCGGCATCGTGCTCACTGAAGGTATGCCTTCAGGGAAGTCGTGTAGTGTATAGTCAACTGCGCACAATTCTGTGAGTCACTTATAACTACTTTACCGTTACTTATTGCCAATTATGAACTCAGACTATTGTCCTATCATCTCATAGAGTCCCTGGCACATAATAATACACGGAGGCAGTGGGGGTTGCAAAATGCCAATTTATTGCTAATAAACCCCATTGGAGGGGGCACGTCCTACCCCACCACCTCCACTGGCTCCGCCAGTGACCACTGGTAATAACATTGACACTAACTACAAATTTCATAGGTAGTTCTTCCACCTTAGCCCACAGAAACATCTCAAAATGACATATAAGCAGTGCAATCAATACCTGTGGCAGCCACATTAAGCGGCTGCTTGGGCCCCGTGTCCTCTGCACCTTTCCCCACCTTCTGCTCCCTCTGATTCCCCCCCACCACATCCCTACCTTGGGGTCCCTCCGCTCTGGGTAGGAGGGGTAGAGAGTCGGGTGGGACCTGGTACTCCACACCATTAAGGCAGGAAGCAGGGAGGAGTGAGAATGTTCGAGCTGGCTGGAAGAACCTGGGAAAAATAATATTAAAACACTTACCAGTGAGGCAGCTGCCTGTGAGATAGCTGTAGATCAAGAAGAAGGTTGGGCGTGCTGTGGTGTGGCCTGTTCGCCTCGTGGCCAGCCTGCCCTTGCCTAGACACCCTGCCTCTGAGACCTCTCCTCAATGTGTTCTCAATGATCAAAAGCTGCTCCATCAGCTACTCTTCATGCAGTTTACACTTAGTGTACCAGGAGCCTATAATTTTTGGAATTTAAATGTATCGATTCTCTTCCCGAGTTGCGGCACGGGACATCTATTTTTTGAGCGTGCTGATGTTGAGAATTGTTAAGTGACGCAGTGTTTAGTTTGTTGTTATTTCAAGGCTGTTGACCAGAGGCCTTGAGACAGAGACACACAGAGTAAGACAGATACCGGGTCCGATTGAGACAGAGGTACTAATGTTGGACAGAGAGACAGATACCCAGAGATGAGATTGAGATAGAGATTGCCCGGGACAGAGTGAGACAGGGATACAGAGACCAAGTGAGACAAACACCAAGCTAATGTGACAGTGAAACAGAGAGGCATAGAGACAGTGTCCCAGACACAGTGAGACACGAATATAGACAGACAAGAAGATGCACAGAGACGGGGAGACACAGGGTGAGAGTAATCTGGGTTACAGATATACAGGAGCAAGAGCAGACTGATCAGTGAGCCCCAGTATTTCAAGTAGTCGAACTTGGCTTCTCTTGTGATAGCTGTCTAGAGTCACAGTGTGAAAACGAACTGGAGTAAGTGTGTAGTGAGTCCTAGGATTAGCAGTCTAACTCTGCTTACCTTGCAACCATTATCCAGTGTGACAGGGAGCAGGGAATCCCAGGAATATAAATACAAAGCAGTCTATTACTTGGTTACATTTTAGGCATCACGGTAGACCACAGGCTGGGAATATCAGGTTGTCAGGGGCCCTTAGACACTTCTTGCTTTGGTGGTACTCAGTCGTGCGTGCGAGTGAGTGACAATGCGACTCACCTTTGACATCAATCGTCAGCTTTGGGAAATCTGACCCTGACATCTGGCTCAGCTCGAAGTTGACCCTATGTGCGGTTGACAACACGACTCGCCTATGAAGTCAATCATCATATTCGGCATGTTTGATCTTGACTAGCTTTGGTTTTGACCCCTATGTGCTGGTTGACAAAGTGATTCACCTTGGCAGAGTCCATTCGCTTCTGCTTTCATGCATCTATAACCTGCACCAGTATGGAGGTTTTTTTAATTGGGTACAATTTTGAACAACAGCCGTCTAATCTAGTACATGTAATACATCTAATCGGCACACTCATTGGTTCACTGCAGCTCAAAGACTTACTCCTACAAGACGTTTGGTGAAGTTAGGAGATGTCCATGTGCTCAGAATTTGAAAGCCTGAAATCCGGAATTGGTGATCTCGCCGACAAAGTGTTTAGGGAGGCAATTCCACGCCCATGGTGCACCCAATAACTTTTCTGAATGAGCTGCGTCCTTGCACCCTGGCCCTGTTCTGTTATCGCTGTCCCTTGGCAACGCCTCATTGGACAGCAATGTAGCCATGTTTTTACCATGTCTCGAGAGTTAAAATAATCTTGTTTTGGTACTCAATGGTTTTGAGGTTTTGTAATGGCTAGTTTATTTTCACTATATAATTGTTTTAAACGAGGAACACCTTTTGTATGCATTAACAACAGATTGGTTTGCATAAGCAAAATGTTTTAAGATGTATTAATTCATTTTAAATATCGATGGTTAAGATAAATATTTGCAATGTAATTGTGAGTGTGCTTTACTAAAACACATGTAATTCCGCAGCAAGATGTGCCGGTGGTTACGGTAGCCGGGGAGGGCAGCAACAGCGGCAGCAGCAGCCTGGTGGGACTGCGCGTCGTGGCCAAGTGGAGCTCTAATGAGTACTTCTACTCGGGGCGGGTGGTGGGCGAGCGTGAGGCCGGGCGGTGCCGTGTGCGCTTCGACGACGGCTACGAGTGCGACGTGGCGGGCCGTGACGTACTGCTGTGTGACCCTATCCCACTGCACACGCAGGTCACGGCGCTCTCCCATGACGAGTACTTCTCCGCAGGTCAGGAAGGGCCCAAAATCGACATGCTACACCTGGGTTTTCAGAGCTATAATCGTACACACTAGACTTTGTATTCTGAGGACTGAGTCATCAGATTTATAGTTTTATATATTGTTTCGTAGTTATTTAGTTATTGACTGTGCTACCATTGTATTTACAGATATATCATGTTGAATGTTTCCACACCAAAAGTCAAATTCTGGCTCCAAATTCGGATTATTTGGCCTCGAAGTTCTCCAGAATAACCCCACTGAGTTGCCTAAAAGTTCCCTAATTAGCTTCTTTACTTGTCCTTCGTTACCTCATTGATCTGTTCTGAGTCTGAAGCCTGTATTCATTATGTCATAGCTGGGTATAATTAACACTGGTTGTGCATTACCCATATCTGAAATACACGTTATTACAGTTAAACTCATTTTATTTCAGGTGGTAAGGCTGGAGCTTGAACTCAGGTCTCGGAGAGATTTACTGAGGGAAGCAATTTTTTTGATGCAGATAAACCAATGCAGCATATGCAGTGCACTCTGTTTGTCCATCACCATTTTTTCTGCGTACCCAAATATCCACAGAAGCACCAGATCACGAGTTATTTAGGTCCTATACTGTCCCTTAAGGATGTTTAGATATAAGGACTGGTGGACAAATATCTATCGTGTGACTGCAATATCATGGCAACAGGAATGTTTCTGTGCTGTGGTGGTGAGTCCTGTGCTCATTGCTGTAAACTGCATCCTGCACGTCATGGAAGTGGTCCCCATAATTAAAATAATAAAATATGAACACTCTTGACATCACCCAAAATCAAATGACTTCATGAAACATAGGAGCTCTTCAGCTTATGCCACCCATATGTCTCCAAAGGAGATATGCAGAATGTGATCAAATCGCCCGAAAATCTGCAATATAACAAATCAGTAAAGCCCTCACACTGTCGAGGTTGGGTAGTGCACTTTTAAGCCAGTGACTTGCAAAATAGTGATGTGTCATTATGTGTATGGGACACCTAGCTTAATACATTAATAGCAGTACAGCCAACTGATTCCTGAATTCTGTCCGGTGGGGTTGATTATCACCCCCTTTGATTTAAAGCTTTCGTGACTGCAGGGATTCATATTCTTGGTTCTTTCGGTAAAGTCCTTCAACGTGACTTTACCGAAAGAACCAAGAATATATATCACCCCCTTGTATACATGACATTTCTCTGGAGACTTTGCTTTACTCTCAAATGAAAAATACTACTAATATAATAGTTTAATATACAAGATTGGAAGGTTAAACGATAGTTTTGGAGACTAAGGTTTTCTTGGGCAATATAAAACAAGCAAGTACAATGTATACATTTTAACGTTCAAAAATAATAGCAGCACTATCATACGAGGTTCATTGTTGTAGATTTTATTGAAGTAATCACTGCTAACCAAAACAATACAAAAATGTAAGTGAATACAACAACTGCACGTATCAGTTTCATCTGAGATTACGTTCCGTAAAATGATGTTCATGCATTACCCCTTGTCCTGCATACCCCAATTGTGCATAGGGTACATCAAGGGGCACCGGAGGGAGGAGGACGAGCTGTACTATTGTGTGGAGAAAGACGGGCAGCGCAAGTGGTACCGGCGTGTGGCTGTCATCCTGTCCAGCGAGCAGGGCGACCAGCTCAGAGCACAGTACAGCCTGGACCCGCTGTGCCCACCCACTCCACACAAGCGCATGGCAGATGTCAGCCTCGGTACGCTGGCCTAATGCTTCATTTGTAACTAATGATAAAGAGAGCTGCAAAATAACAGGCGAGTCCGGAAGGGATCGTTCCAAGACTTCCAAGGTTTAGCAATACACATTGAGATATTTTAGTTATTATACTTAAAAAACATTGCAATATTGGTGTATGTAGTGTATAGTAGGGTACCTGAGGATATCCAGCAAGGGAAGAAGGTCATAAGACGTTATGGTAGATGGAACTAAATTTGTTGAAAGTGAAAAGGTACCAAGATATACTGAGTGATAAACATATCCACATGTTTAGTTGAGGTCAGAGCGTGTTAGATTATGCAAGATCACCAAACAGCACTGATCAGTGGGGTGAAAATATAACCAAACACGGAAAGGCATTGGGAAGTCTTCCTCCAGCAGTGGATTATAGCAATGCTGTGGATTCCTTTGATAATTATTGCACATGGGTTAGGATATGTAAATGGAATTAAGTTCATGGCAAAAAAGCACTTAGCAATGTGCTAATAGAGATGGAAGTGATTGGAGTGAGGTGTCATTTGAAATGTAAGGGGATACGGATTATAGAGGTGGAATAAATGTTGCATGAAATATCCTGCTCCAGTGGATGTTCTCAAAATAGTAATACAATTGATAGTAATCGTTGATTTGATATGTAATAAATTAGAGGTGTAACATTGCACTGATTCATAGATTAATATTAAGTCGTATGCTAATGATGCATGCATTGTTTGTGTAAACATCTATAACATGGAAAATTAATTTGTATTTGATAAGTAATCAAAATTTTTTGGTATTTTATAGTTTCACAACCAGTAATGCCTGCTATATTTACCACATTGTAAAATAAAGTTTATTGTTAAAGAAAGTTTATTATTTAATCAAATTGTGTCCCTGAATATTGACCATATATCAAATCACCAGGGAAATAGATTTCTATACCTCTAGAATGTTTGTTGAGGTGTGTGTTTTTTGTTGAGCATAGTTTTTGTGATTTGGAAAAGAAATTTGGAGATTTTTTTTCCAGTGGAAGGTAAGGAGATAAAGCAGTTTTTCAAAAATGGTGATTTATTTAGAAATTTCACTGTCAGATGTGAAGAGAAATATTCATAGTGATACTCTTTGGTTCTTTCGGTAAAGTCAAGTAGGTATAAAATAATATAAATCACGACGTTTCGGGTGCAACACAAGCGTCCATCATCAGGTGAGAAAGCATGGTCTCCTGCTGAGGCAGACTATTTTAACACAAGCTTTAAAACACAAGCTTGTGTTGCACCCGAAACGTCGTTATTTATTTTATTTTATACCTACGTGACGTTAACGAAAGAACCAAAGAGTATGGATTCCTGCTGTCACGAAAGCTTCAAATCAAGATATTCATAGTGATTTTCTCCAATAAACCTGTTAACCTGTAGAATATTTTCCTCGGCAAAACAGATTGTGATAAACCTATGCGAGAACCAGACATGGCATATCTTCATTATTATAAAAGCATGCTCATTTGAGGCAATTAAATTAACCATTGTAAATTTTCCTGGATTAAATAATTACAGTATTTATTAATTAAGGGTTGCCAATATTTGTCCTCCCGTACATGAGTGAATCTTGGAAATAGGGTTATCAGGCACAAAGAAGGCATTTTAATAATTGCAACCGCTGGGAATATGCATATGCTGTTGTATAGCAATGTTAGTGTTCAAAGGTTGATATACTGTACATTTATGGTGGAATGCTTATGTTCAGATAACCTTGTGGAGGGCAAGAGGCAACGACGGCTTGGAACAGCAGCAGAAGGTCGGTCTCCGACCACACAAGCTGCACGGCAACCGCAAAGCCCCCGGGTCGTGCCCTCCACTGGCAAGCGAAGGCTGCAGCTCACCGACCAGGGATCATCTGATGTCGGGTCGCCAGCTAAGCGAGGCCGCAAAACCACCAGTGCCAAGCGTAAGTCGAGCAACAATGATTAGGTTTATTTATTGTATGTATGTTGAACTTCTTTCACACCGTACGTAGCCAACCGTGTTAATCGGAGGTGCGGGGAAAGGACAACAATTTTGACACGTAAAGCAGTTCTAAAGAAATGAATTTTCAATCTAGATTTAAAAGTGCAAAGCTCAAGTAGCTTCCGAATATCGGAAAGAAGAGTGTTTCAGATAGCCGCAGAAGCACATTTGAAAGCGCGCGATGCAGTGACTGTCTTTGTTTGATGGCCAGTCGAAAGCCGCTACGAGGATGACCGGAGTTCACGTGATGGTTTATGCTCCTTGACGTGATCAGCAAGGTATTGTGGTTCATTTGTGGCATACACTTTATATGTAATCAGTGCAGCCTTATAACTTTCATTCAGTCACCGGAAGCCAATGCAGCTCAGCTAGGATTGGATGGACATGGTCTAATCTTGCAGTAACTGTCACGACACATGCCAGATAATTTTGTACACGCTGCAGCTTGGTAATGCTTTTTCTAGATGTCCCGTAGAGTAGTGAGTTGCAATAATCGAGCCTTGTCAATACTATCCTACACGCCTCCATGTTTGCTGTCACTACTCAATAGTGGTCGAATGTGTTGAAGAGCCCTGATATGAAAATTGCAGGACCTGACTATATTTTTCAGGTGGTGATCAAACTACGTATTCTGGTCGAGTCGATGCCGAAGCTCTTCAGATGAGTAGAAAACTGAATCTTGGAGTCTGCAGCACCTAATTCTCCCACATCTTTTTTTCGACTGAACCTGAGTGCCAACCAGCAGAACCTCCGATTTTCCTGGATTAAGCAGCATTTAGTTTCATGCACCCCTCGCGTGCACCGCTGGCGTACACCCCTAGTGTGCACCGCTCGCGTGCACCGCTTGGGTGCACCGCTCGCGTGCACCGCTCGCGTACACCCCTCGCGTACACCCCTAGTGTGCACAGCTCGCGTGCACCGCTCGCGTGCACCGCTCGCGTGCACCGCTCGCGTGCACCGCTCGCGTACACCCCTCGCGTACACCCCTCGCGTGCACCGCTCGCGTACACCCCTAGCGTACACCCCTCGCGTACACCCCTCGCGTACACCCCTAGCGTACACCCCTCGCGTACACCCCTCGCGTCCACCCCTCGCGTACACCGCTCGGGTGCAATCTTCTAGGTTACTGAGGCTCTCCATATCTTACTTTAGCAAGGTAAAAAAAACACAGACTATTTCATTGTGAACAACTTTAGCAGAAATGTGATTGTGGACATATATAAGCATGATCAGTTTATGCATTGCAGAAATGTAAGGGATGCGTTCCTGGGATATGCTACTCAACTCGAAATTACTTAAAGCGAACTCTAATTTCCCATAAACATGATTCAAATCAGTAGTTGTGTTCGTAGCAGACATTACGAAAAGAAAATGCGGGACTAAATGTAATAAAATGTAAAAAAATAAATTTTTATTTAAAGCTTTCATGACTGCAGTAATTCATATTCTTAACTCTTTCGGTAAAGTCACAGGTGATGATGACCGTTTGTGTTATGGTCGAAACGTCGTGAGAATTTTTATTGTTTTATATATATTTTATTATTTTATTGTTTCCCTTCAATGTGACGTTACCGAAAGAGTTAAGAAAAATGTAAAAAAATAATTATAATTTGATGTACATTTTCACTCATGAATTCAAATGATTAGATAATACTTAGCAGAGATGGTTTAATAACTTGCTGATCGAGGCCTCTTTGGGTGAGCAATGGTGGAGTTATGCAAAGGAGTAGGATAAACTGCCTCTTAATCTGACAAGGAAGCTGGAGGCACAGGAATATTCACCAGAGTTAGCTGGCTCTATCCTGGTGCTCTTCTCCAGACCTTCTGGCTTGATTGTAGAGCTTTTATAAATCTGTCCAAAGACAGCTGGACAGCATTTTTCTTATACTGGTACAGCTCTTTATAGCAGTGAATTCCAGTTAATATTCGTGGTGGTGGTGGTGGTATCATTGCATCGGTCTCTTCCTAAGCTCGTTGTTCCAGCTCCATTAGATCCTCATTTGACAGGTCCTCACCATGGGACTCAAGCAATTCCACCACGTCCAACTCCTCCACATTGTCGAGTCCAGCTATTTTGCAATGTAATACTGTCCTTAAACGTATATGCGAAACAACGCATATTGTGGAAACTTATAGCGGGGGATTCCTATAGTTTGTAGTTGGAGATATATTGTGCTCATATTTGTTGTTGAAATTCTCAAGTGTTTAATTGTTTATTTTAACATGACAGACCAAATAATTTACTGCCCTACAGGTTGTGCTTAATGTTGCTTGGTGCAACTTTAGGTGAATTTTCGTATCCACAATACACTGCCTCTATTACATACTCATGTGAAAGGAGAGCATGTAATCGGGCATCAACTGCTTGCTATGTTACATTTACATAAATGTTTACCCAAAAATGTATAACTGCAATCTTGGATTAATAACTCAATCATTATATTTTTTAAAAGGTGATACAACTGACTTGAACAAATACAGACCCATTAGCCTCCTATCACATGTCTATAAATGTTTCAAATGATAATTGGGAACAGAATAATGAAAAACATAGGCTTACCAACAACAGGAGCGAACAAGATTCAGGAAAGCATAAACGAACAGCATGTAATGTGATTAAATAGTAATGTTTTAACACGAATGACAAATATTCATAGCCTTTGTTAATGGGGAATGCCTTTCACATATTTTACTATTAAGCTTTTTATACACATAAAACAAATATACAGAAATCAATATATAAGAACATATTAATTAAAATCTTGTACACAATCTTTGTCAAACATTTCCTAACATATCTCAAGGTTAACTTTATGTTGCCTTTCACGACCAATATGATTCATAATTACGGGCAGTCCTCGCGTTACGAACCTAATTCGTTCCTGAGACCCATTCGTAAGTCGGAACACAATAGTGCGCTGTATTTAAATGCCCATACAGTCAGTGTTATGAAATGTGTCATGGTTCAACAAAAAGGGAAGCAATGTTAAACTCATAATGAAGAAATATTGTACATTTGCATATAACACTGTAAAATATTGTATAGTAAATAAAACAGAAAATAAAGTAACATAAATCCAAAAAAAACTTTATCTTGAGTCCTGATGCTAGCTTGTAGTCGGAAGGGGGGTCGGAAGGGGGAAGAAGAGTCACCACAATTGCACACACACACGCAGGGCACGCGCATACACACAGAAAGACAAAGACACACACACCCCCAACAACAACAAATCTCCCGTGTGGCCTTAACAGGCTGTAGAGGTAAGTGCTGTTTGTGAGCAGCGCCTATGAGGGGGCGAGTGGCCAACGTCACGCCCGGCTGGCTTTGTCTCCTCAGTGGTGATGTTTATACACCGTACCAGGTGCTCATTTAAGTCTGAGTCGACCTAGAGGAGGCCCAGACCTTAACAGGCTGTTGGGGCAAGTGATTTTAGCGAGCAGCACCTATGAAGGCCGGCATGGCACACGAGGCGGTGAGTGGCAAGCGCCACGCCTGGCTGCCTTGGTCCCCTCAGTGGTGTTATTTATACACTCCACCAGGTGCTCATTTGAGGCTGAGTCAACCTAGAGGAGGCCCAGGTCCCATTCAGATGGTCGTCACTGGTGTTGATCGTGAGCGGGAAATTAACTTTGGTCGCCAGGTTGGTAGCACAGCGCTCTAACCGTTGCACTACCGCTCCCCCCACACACACATGCGCGCACAAAGACAGAGAACCCCGTATCACCTTAACAGACTGTAGGAGCAAGTGCTGTTAGCGAGTAGTACTTATGAAGGCCAGTACGGCATACGAGTGGATGGGTGGCCAACACCACGCTCGGCCACCTTGGTCTCCCCAGTGATGATGTTTACACGCCACACCAGGTACTGGTGTTGGCCATGAGCAAGAATTGAACTCGGGTCGCCGCTTTCGATACGCAGCGCGCTGACCGCTACACAACAACAACAACAACCGCCATTCGCACTAAGTGGCGGTGACGTCACCACGACGCTTGTGCCAGGCTATGTGCACCGTGAGGCCACGTGAAGTGTCGAACGCCCGCTGGCAGGAGGTCACTGGGCAGACCCAGGTGCCACGAGTCGACTGACTGAGATGACTGGCTGATGCACCACCGCTACACAGTCACTGCTCACACACTCACTTTCACACATACATGTCCACTCATGCACACACGCAAACACTCACTCCCTGCGCCAGGCCGACTCATTACACCTCGCAAAGGATCACTCCTGAACAAAATAGTTCCGCGGTTCAGTTTGCAATTGCGAGTTCGCGTTTTAAGTGATTGTACATTTTTTCATGGAAGCTGGTTTGTAAGTGCGGGCGTTCGTAACTATAACATAGGAGAACTAAGCTTTTGTTTACAGCTGGTGATGCTGGTTATATTCTCCAGAAAAAAAAACATTGTACAAAATTATCAACATTTTTCTTGCTTTTCAACATTTTGGTTTTGCAGATAATTAAATTAATTGTCATATTTTCCCACATAGTTTGATTGGCTCTGTCGTGGGTGATGGAGGGTTATAGTTTAAAAATTACATACGTACACAATATAACCCAAAAGAAACTAATTCTGAACCAAATATTTTGGTGTTTGTTTTTGCGTATAGCAGTTAAATATATGGAAAACATTCCATAACCATACATTAGACCTCAGTGGCCTCCATCTTATGCTTGTAACTTAGAAAGCATATTTTTAATGCACATGTAGTGACTGTGAATGTCACTGTGTGGTGCCGGGCTTGCGAGGCCACGGTGGATAATATGTTGTCATTATGTACAGCCCGGTTACTGGGTGTGGTACCAGCCCTAGCGGGGCTTGGGTGAGCGCTGGTTAGCGTAGAAGCACAACGTACAGTGTGCGGTGCGGGCTCTCGGTGAGGGAGCGAGAGAGAGTGTCAGCCAGCCAGGGTTACGTTGGGGCATGATACGCTGGTTGACCTGCCGACACGTGACCGGATGATATTGGAGGGGGGCCACCGGTGGACGGGGGCCGCTGGGTGGTCATGTGGTATAGAGGAGCTCTCGGGAGCTCTGGGGAGCCTTCAGGAAGGAGATCAAGAAGGTGGACAGGGCGAGGGGCGGGGCGAGGGGTGGAGCCAGCCCCAGCCCGCGCCAATATAACGGGGGGCCCTGTGAGGGGCTCGGGGTTCTTCGAGTTGTTGGTGAAGAAGATCCACGTCGGGTTCAAGAAGCCTCTAGCCACGCGGTCTGGGACCCAGCTCGTGGTCCGGACCGGGATAGCGGGGCACCGTGTCTAGTTCTGCGTAGCGTGGTCAGATGGGCGTTCAACACCCAAGTGTAGGTTACGTTATGTTGTGTTGAGTTGATGTAATAAATAGTGTTGCTCACGAGACAACGTCTGCGACTCAGTTGGACTCGCTGCACACATTCTGAATTGTGGAGACTGTGACTTTTCTTTTAATTAAAATGCCATTTCAGACTCATCATCAGGAGGCTCCAGCCCATGTAAGAGCATTGGCGGGCACTCGCCCACGCACAGCCTCACGGAGGAACGGCCAGTGCCACAGGCGTGCCCCAGCTCTGAGCTCTTTTGCGGCTACAGCTTCGTGTTGACAGTGTCCACCCCTGCAGATCGAGTGTACTGCCGACCACCCCGCTTCTCCACTGATGAGAGCTCGGGCACGGAGGAAGGTAAGCTGGACAGCTTTGCACAAGCCGGTTACCGCTGTGGTGATACGGCCTCGCGTTCGCAGCTTGTTGCAGAGTTTCACTGCCCGAATCCAGTAACCTCCCCGATTAATACTGTGAGTTTATTCATCATAATACGATTAAAAGTAACCTATTCCTCAACTTTCCTGGCTGACTGCTGGCTGTGCTCCTCTCCACCCCTACAATAACTCTGTTGTTGCCACCAAAAATAGCTGTGTATCTGGCTAAATAGGAATTTCCTTGTAACAAATAAAGATTGGATTGAATTAAAATAGACGCAAATCAGCAGACATGATGAATAAAAGAAAAATTTCACATATATTATCTTGGCATTTTATTACATAAAAAAGCAGTTTAACACGGGCTTTTGCGACCAATATCCATAATGAAGATTTTTTTTGGGTTAGATCGCATATAAATGTGTTGTTAATCCCACCACTACCCGACACATCCAATTTAGTAAGGTTTGTCATGTACTCTTTGGTTCTATTCGGTAAAGTCACGTAGGTAAAAAATAAAATAACAAAAATCATGATGTTTCGGCCACAACACAAGTGGCCCTCATAAGGTGAAGGGACCGTGCTATCATGAGGACAGCGTTGGAGTGAAAACAGCCAAGCCCAGGTCACGTCCTTTAAGCTGTGTGGGAGGAAGCAAAACGCTTTGACAAAGGAATTAGCATAAAAATGAGCATGATGTACGTAGGAGGTGCATGGGCCATGATGGACCAGGAGCGGGTGGGGACCATGACGGACCAGCAGCGGGGGGGGGGGGGGGGGGAGTAGAGGGAGTGGGTGGAGTGAGTGAGTGGAGTGAGTGAGTGAGTGGAGTGAGTGAGTGAGTGGAGTGAGTGAGTGAGTGGAGTGAGTGAGTGAGTGGAGTGAGTGAGTGGAGTGAGTGGGTGGAGTGAGTGAGTGGAGTGAGTGAGTGAGTGGAGTGAGTGAGTGGAGTGAGTGGGTGGAGTGAGTGAGTGAGTGGAGTGAGTGAGTGGAGTGAGTGGAGAGAAATAAGCAGTTGTGAAAGTTTGGGATACCACTACTTGAAAAAATGTTACTGTACCATTGAAAATTAGTTTAATGTTTGGTTTGATTTAGAACATCTTTCCAAAAAATGTTCAAGTAGTGGTATCCCAAACTTTCACAGCTGCTTATTTCTCTCCACTCACTCCACTCACTCACTCCACTCACTCCACTCACTCCACTCCACTCACTCACTCCACTCACTCACTCCACTCACTCCACCCACTCACTCCACTCACTCCACTCACTCACTCCACTCACTCCACTCACTCACTCCACTCACTCACTCCACTCACTCCACTCACTCACTCCACTCACTCACTCTACTCCCCCCCCCCCCCCCCCCCCCCCCCCCGCTGCTGGTCCGTCATGGTCCCCACCCGCTCCTGGTCCATCATGGCCCATGCACCTCCTACGTACATCATGCTCATTTTTATGCTAATTCCTTTGTCAAAGCGTTTTGCTTCCTCCCACACAGCTTAAAGGACGTGACCTGGGCTTGGCTGTTTTCACTCCAACGCTGTCCTCATGACAGCACGGTCCCTTCACCTGATGAAGGCCACTTGTGTTGTGGCCGAAACGTCGTGATTTTTTTGTTATTTTATTTTTTACCTACGTGACTTTACCGAATAGAACCAAAGAGTATGGATCCTTGCAGTCATGAAAGCTTCAAATCTAGTTTGTCACGTAAACAAAACGTGCCAATTAGTTACTACTTAACCACACCGGTGTGTTGTAGAGTAAACCCATAACATTGAAAACTCGAGTACGACATTTCACTGGTAATTACAACCAGCTTCATCAAGTGATTATCCAGAATTGTGAAGAAGTCTAAAAAAGCAGATTACTTTTAGTGCTTTAAGTACAGGATTATGACAATCACGGCTCTCTTATCTTCAATTTGAGAGCGACGGGTTCCCTGTTAGTTAAATTTAATAATACGCACCATCTTCACAGTGAAAGTTAAAGATGCCGTCACCGCATTCAGAAGGGCAGGCCATTGTGTGCTGTCGTCATGGTCCAAATTTGTCAAATTTGAAATATCGTCTGAAGATTACTCAATTGGAATTATATATAACAACCATTACCCTTATGACTCATGAAAAAGAGTCACAAGACTGAAAATATATTGGGTAAACAAGTGTAATAAATAGTTTTTAAAAATTAAACCCTCATTACTATTCCTGTAACCAGAAGCATGCTAAAATATCCAGCAAAATAACTGCACTTGTGGTTGAAAAGGAGTACTTGAATCACACATTTGACCGTAAATGATACCCAGTGTCCCTGAGTGACACACATTGCTGTATCAATCGCTATTTTGCATTTGTTTTATTAGAAGTTGGCTACAAGTGTAATGACGGGGTACCACCTGTCGGCCTGGAGGGGTATGGGCAAGTTATATAATGACTAACTAGAAGGGGGGCGTATCTGGGCTAAAGGTGAAAGGCGGAGTCAGTTGGGAAGCTCCGGGAACCTGCTTGAAGGTTCTGGAAGAGGGCGTGGCCAGAGGCCTGGCTTGGCCTTGCCAGGAGGTATATAAGGCGGACGGAATCAGAGGTTCGGTGTTGTTGCGGGTCCTGGGTCCTGACTGCGTCGCTGCTTGCTGCCATCTCTCTTCGTCGTCCGGCCGCGTGGCCGATCCTCTGCACGGCTCTCATCGTCGTCGTCGTCGCTACGCTAGTCAGACAGCTGTGTAGTTAGACGCCGACGATGGGGTTGTGTAGAAGGGTCGGCTATGTGTAGCCATGTAGATACATTCTGTATAATGGCCAGTGTTGTGCCCAGTGAGAGAATAAATAAGAAGCTCTCTACACGATGTGTCTCGGAAGTCGCTCACTACACAAGGGTAGTGGCTTCATCTCATAGGTCATTTTTAGATTTAGGCACTCTTATACATGAATTTAGTACATTGAGAATTATTATGGGAATAAACCAATTTTAATACTTTCATCCATGTGCTTAAGTGGGATATTGTCCAGCTGACTAAATCCTTTTGTGTCCTCTTGGTTTCCAGAGCAAGCAGCAGTGCCGTATGACTACGCAGCAATTGAGGCTCAGATTCGGGCAGCAGGAGGCACCGTCCTGCAAAACCTTAACCCGACCCTGGTGAGCATGCTGTGTGTGCACTTTTTCTCTGGTCAGGTTGTAAGGTGTAGACCACATTATAGATGTGGGTACCCACTATTAATGAGGCATATAACAGGTCCCTGCAGGGTGGGCTGGTAGGACAAGTCTCTGCGCTGTCTATTGCTGATTTTACACCCAACAGCACGAGATTTCACTTCGTTAAAGTATTAAATGGGGACGGACAGACGAACGGACACATTAATCTATTGCAGGCTGGTACACTCAGTTTACAACTTCGTTCCTACCAGTAAAATGTTGCCTTGAAGTAATTTTTTATATGGAAAACTTGGAAAACTTGCAGTACTTCACACTGGAGCTTCTCATGCCAAAAAGTAATTGTATAAATATTTGTTTTCAAATCTATATTCTATTTATTATTTCAGTGGCCACTGCCACCCTCCAAGTCCATTGTTTTAAACCTTTAATTTTGCAGTAGCACCCAGAAATCTAGATAGATTGATTGACAGCTGGGGGAGCGCCACCCCTCTTGGGGTAGGAGGGGCAAGGAGAGGATGCCTTATCGTGTGTCCCCCGGCCACCCAGCAACTACTATCTTTAGATTTCTGGGCTAGCGCCCAGAACGCCAGCATATCTGCCACACCGGAAGAGTTAATACTGGTAGGAACCTCCTGGTTACACCAGCCCACAGGGGATTATTGTGTCCGTCCGTCCGTCGTGCATCCAAAAATGGGAGGGGTGGGGCTGGGTGGAGAGGGGAGGGTGGGGAGGGGCTGGGTGGGGAGGGAGGGCCTGGGTGGGGAGGGGAGGGTGGGGAGGGGCTGGGTGGGGGGTGGGAGGTGTGGGGCTGGGTGGGGAGGGGCTGGTCACCCCGTGGTGCCCTTATAAAACTCAACGTTTATCCTTCTCACGCCGGCTTGTGCCCGCCCTCACAGTCGGGCATATTTGCGGAATACACCACGCCGCCGTTTACCCTGGCCATTGACCGAGCAACCCAACGTTCCTACCAGCTCCCTCCGCAGGAATGTGTTAATGCTATATAGTGTTAGGACCAGCTTGGGCTTGCTTGGGGATGGGTAAACCATCCCCAAGGTTGCACGGTGCCGGCAGAATAATTTTAGCATGCAACAGCTCATGGCTTACTCTCTTATATGGAAAAAGCCATTTAGCCAGTTCCCCTGCAGTTTGCAAGGGAAATCTGTGGCTATTAGCATAGAACAAGAATAACAACATCAACATCATACATACAGAGCAACATGCAACAACAGAACAAAACCCATCAGGGGGAACACGTCAAAGAAGAATAATTAGCTAAAAACAATATAAACAAGCATATTGCACCAAAAACAAGGAATGCAAAAGTAACAGTGAACGGGTTAGGTACAGGTGCATTCTGGGCTCCGAGTAATTTGAAATGGTAGAGGGAGGGGAGGGAGCCGAGCGGAAGCTGAGAGGCAAGGTCATTCCAAGGGGGGGGTAGCAGCTTGGAAGGACATGTCCCCAAACCTAGTTTTAAATATCTGGTATATTTAGTGAGAATTTGAGGAGTTTGGAGGTCCTTTAGATATTTAATAGTCTAGCCTTTTGCCCGTCCTAAGACAGAAGCTGTAATATTTACGAAAAAATGTAGCAGAGTATAATTGTATCTTGTGTAAATTTAATGGCAGTGAATCTTGCACGAACAAAGAACAAAAAAAATCTACGAAATAAAATATATGGAAATGCTTGTTTCTGACTCATCTAATTATTATAGGGTTAATACAAAACCAAAATTCAGAGCATAATTGGGATAACTTGCAGGTATATGACTCATTTCTGGCAAGATCTGGTAAAGTGTGGATGAATAGAACCCTTGTAGTATCGGCGTTATTATGTAACATGACTCATATGCCTGTATTTTAGAATGAACTATTAGGATGTTATATTTGATAAATATGAAAAACTGAAAATATGAAGTGAAAATGGTCAAATGCCACATTTTAATCCATTTGTAAATGAAAGCATAGACTAATTGTTGAAAAATCCTCACACCATGTGTTTTTTTTTAATTAATATTCTGTGGTGTAAGAGGATGCCTTGGTCATGTTTGTGTCAGCTTGTAAAGAACAATTGTATTTGTTTTTGACGATTGCTGGTGCATTGTTCTTGTCGTATTAGAGGTGGTGCCAATTCAATTTTTTTAAAGATTCACACTAGAGATTAACAAGCAAAATTGTTATTACCCATTGAGATGAGATATAAATTGAGTCATATCGCAGATTTCATAGTTTTCCTATTAGCTGAGCAACCCTTCCAGTTGTAACGAATATATAAGTCCTAATAATGAGTAAATTCATGCTCTAGCTCAGTGTTGAACTCTGAATACCTTTGGGTACATTGTCAATTACCACTATGATGCTGAAATGAGAAACTTTTGTGTTGTGTGTGCGCTTGTGTGTGCGCGTGTGTGTGCAGTGCACAGAGCTTTCACTCTGTTTCTTGGTGTGCGACTTCCCGTGTCGCTCACGCGAGTACTTGCTGGCGCTAGCGGCTGGCATACCCTGTGTGTCGCACATGTGGGTGCGGGACACTTGCCTGCTGAACACCCAGCATGACTACCGTAAATACATGCTTCCCTCTGGCTACAGCCTCACTGCTGGCTCCATCATCGAGTGGTGAGCTCATGAGCCCAAAGTCTGCTCTTTTTACAGTTTTCATTATGAATTCTTGGGGTTTCTAGCCATGGTTATATGTTTAGTATATACCCATCAATAGTTGTTTCGCAAACCTAACTGCTAATGGGACTCCAAAATGTTGAACAAATTCAGAGTTTTCTTGTTTAAAAAATTATACTGATAATATTCATCGTGAAAGCAATAAAGACTGATAGACAAGAAAAATGTTTTTACTTGGAGATATGGAGGTCTTATTGTTATTTGATGTTGCATGATGCTCTGCAACATTGCATGATTTTGTGTATACTGTAATACCCCGATTTACGCCCTCCCGTTTTATGTACTTTCACTATGACGTGCTCAACTTATTGATACCCAATCGCTTTTTACATTGTGGTACATCGCTATAACATACTCGAGATTTACGAACTTCACTATTCATACCCACATTTATTATGTTCCACGTCAAACATTCAAGTGCAAGATGTCCTGAGGAGCCCCCAAGCATATGCGTTCCTGACTACAGTAGTCTCTTTCGTGTGTACACGTGTAGTAAGTCCAATTGAGTCGCAGACTTTGTCTTGGGAGCAACAAGTTTTATTAAATTCTTAGCACGACATACTCCAAGCTATTAACACAACATACTCTTGGGCGGTGATCACCCAACTAACCACGCTACGGCGGAACTAGACACGGTTCCACTATCCCGGTCCGGACCACAAGCTGGGTCCCGGACCACGTGGCTGTAGGCTTCTTCAAGCTTGACGTGGATCTCCTGCCTCTCCAACAGTAAGAACCCCGAGCCCCTTACAGGCCCCCCTTATATCAGGCCGGGCTGGGGCTGGCTCCGCTTCACGCCCCGCCCACCTTCTCGATCTCTCTCGCCCTTGCCCGAAGGCTCTCGAGAGTTCTTCTCGGACCATGTGACCACCCATTGGCCCCCTCCACCAGTGGCCCCCCAGTATTATCCGGTCACATGTCCCCAGGTCAGCCAGAGTATCATGCCCCCAATGTAACCCTAGCTGGCTGACACTCTCTCGCTCTCTCAACGGGAGCCCGCACCGCATGCTGTGCGTGTTGCCACCACGCTTAACCAGCGCTCACCCAAGCCCCCACTAGGGCTGGTACTACACCCTGTGTCCGGGGTGTACACACAACAGTATACATCCCGCCATGGCCTCGCAGGCCCGGCACCACACAGTGACATTCCCAGTCACTGCATCACCCCCCCCCCCCCCCCCCCCCCCCTCTTCGTAGCACTCAGCCGTCCCGGCTGTCAACTTCCCCTTAACGAAGCAACGACGAAATATATACAACGTAACGCATGTGTGTCCAACAAAAACAAAACAACCAATAAATACCCAAACCCACCTGTACAATTATACACTAACAATAAAATTCAGAACAACAACAATAACAATCGTGACATGCAAGACCCCCGCAATCAACATCTCCCACCCACAACGTGTAACAATGCTAGTGAGCTCAATGGCGAGCAGGATCAGCCAACTACTTGCAATGACTCATGCGAGTGCAATAACCATTGACGGCGTGGGAGTGTGCAACGTGCGGGGATTATGCAACCGGAGTCTTTGAGCGGGACGTCGCCCAACCCGCCCATCGTGTCCATGGCAGACGCAACGAGAGGGGGGGGGGGGGGGGTTGACTCGGCCGGTCGACCACGACCGGAAGCCGAAAAGCATGCACACCCGCCGCCCGCGGGCAATCGTGACAGGGCATCGGCGTTGGTGTGACGAGAACCTTTTCGATTCGTAACACAGAACGAAAAATCCTGCAGGATTTCAAGCCAGCGTGATAATTGGCCCACGGGCTGATCCACATGCAGCGCGTATTGCAGCGTTGTGTGTTCGGAGCGCACCTCGAAATGTCTGCCTTACAGATAAGGCCGGTATTGCTGCACGAAAACCACAATGGCCAACAATTCCCGGCGCGTAATGCAGTACCGCTGCTCGGCCGGGGACAGCACCCTGCTCCCATAAGCGACTACGTGCTCCATGCCATTGACAACTTGAGATAATACCGCACCAATACCAGTATTACTGGAGTCTGTATCTGAAACGAACGGTAATGAAAAATCGGGATAACGCAGGGGAGCGGCGTTGACCAGCCCATCGCGAGTGGAGCGGAACGCGGCTTCTTCCTCCCCCCAATGAATTTTTGGTCTCTTATCAGTCAAGGCGTGGAGAGGCTTAGCAATGGATGCAAAGCCGGCGACAAATCGGCGATAATACGAAGCAAAGCCGATAAAACTGCGCACCTTGCTCGCCGAAGTGGGTGTCGGCCACGTCCAAACACACGCCGTCTTCTCCGGGTCCGTAGCGATACCCGATTCGCTTACTATGTGACCCAAATATCGAACCGATTTTTGGAGGCGGTGACACTTCTGTGGTTTAAATTTCAGGTCGGCCGCATGCAGGCGATCCAAATGTTCATCGAACGTATGACCGAAGACAATAACGTCGTTCAAATATATTAGGCACGAATCCCACTGGAGGCCCGCTAAAACCAGCTCCATCAGCCTCTGGAACGTGGCCGGCGGCGAGTGGAGGCCCATAGGGAGCCAGTTAAATTCGAACAACCCTTGCCGCGTACGAAAGGCCGTCTTGTGCTTGGAAGCCTCGTCGAGCGGCAATTGCCAAAATCCCGATAGAAGGTCAAGGGTGGAAAAGAACCGTGCTCCCACCAGGGCGTCCAGGAAATCGTCCATATGTGGCAAGGGGTATGCATCTGCGACGGAAACCTTATTGAGCTTGCGGAAATCAACACAAAATCGCAAGCTGCCGTCGTGCTTCTTGACAAACACGATTGGGGCACCCCATGGACTGGTGAATGGTGAGATGATGTCCGCTGTCATCATCTCATCAACCGCCACACGAACGTGTTCCTTCTCAGCCGGGTTCAAGCGGTAAGGATTTTACCGAATCAGGGCAGCATCGCCCGTATCAATATGGTGGCTCAAAAGGGACGTGCCGCCAATATTAAATTTACTTTTACTAAAAATGGCAGAAAATTAATGCAAGAGAGCGCGCAGCTTCCCCCTTTGTCCAATAGATAAATCGCCACAAAGTTTATCAATCCATCCCTCGTTCACATCCCAGAACCTGCGAGCTTGACCGCCGACCTCGACACGTCCCACAACGTCCCTCTTGGGACGTGCCGACGAAGCATGTGCCAGCACGGTACCCTCCTGGATGACCGTTGTGTCCGGCCCGGCATTAAGAACCTGAATGAAAGGTTCTTGATCCTGGGATACCAATGTCTGGGCTGCCACTAGTGACATACTGCAATTAAGCTTATTGGAGGGTCCCAAAACAACACCCTCATCTGCAGTGCACACATCGAGCGGTTTTCGCAACCGGAGGGGCACTAACATTTGTGCGCCAGGCCAAATCCGCATTGTTCGGCACGTAATAGCCTGCACCGTCGCGTTAGCGGAAGACATATATGAGTCGGCGACGGAAGAAATGCCATACGCCGTCCCGACGGCAATTCCAGACAGCCCTGGTCAACACATCTTCAGGGGCATCTTGCCCAGAAAATCGATAAACACGGGATGGCTAGGGTCGTAGAAACCAAAACGTGGCCCGACAATTTGACATCTGCAATACGCAACTCAGTCATTATCCGTCAGATTATCCCCAACGATCCGCCATTGGCGGCAACACACGGAGCATCCACAGGTTCCAAAACGCGACACCGGGAAGGTAAAATGTTATAGATAAGTTTAAAAATAATGGTTGAAGACGCGCCAGTATCAACGAGCATACGGATTTCCACTCCCTCAATAAACGCGAGCACGGCCGACGAACCCGTGGCCGCCGCGACCACTCGATGGGCCAGCTCCGACCACTGATCCGGTCGGAGCGGGCGCACATTACAAACACGTCCCGACTCCCCCCGAACCCGCGTGCGACCCCGACCCAAACCGGACCCCCCCGATGGGTGAAGTGAACCCTGGGGCCGAGTGTAGGAAGGCGGACTCCCCAGAGGCCGCCGTCAAGGGACCCGACAGCTCGACTGGACGTGCCCCGGCAGGCCACAGTTGTAGCAGACGACCCGGCCACTCTTGGACTTGAACAATGAAGACCTCGCCCGTCGCCGGTCGTCCCTCCGCCGATCGTCAGCACTCCGATGGACGCCACCCCGCTGGTGCAGCGAGCATACAGGAGCAGGCTCAGTCTCCGCGCAGGCCTCCGGCTCTGTGGAGGACGTGGCGCATGCCACCAACACCCTGTCACGATGCAAGATCTGCTGCGCTTGGATGCACCTGGCGACCCGGAGTGAAGACACCGCATCGTCCTCGGCGGGAAGTACAGTATGGAGGTCTTTCGCGACTCCCAGCATCTTCTCGAGGACCAAGGCATCAAGACCGTTATGGTCCATTTTAGAGAACACGGCCTTCGCTAGTGCCAAAAGCGCGCGACGGTAGGTGAGAGCCGACTCGCCCTCCCCTTTACGTCTCATGGCGGACTTTTGCCGGGTGTTTAACAGAGTCTCAAAAACAGCCGCCATCTGGTCGAACGCCTGCGTTAGGGTGGCTCTTTCAGACGGCGGGATGGCGAGGAATGCCGCCAAGGCGTCGTCGTTGAGGGTGGCGGGCAGCGCTTTCAGCGCCTCCGTCCATCCCGCCAAGTCGGCATTGGTGAGAAATCGCTGCCACTGGCAGCAACAAATTCTTTAATGAAGGGCAGTCGGCGGCGGAGCGACGGGATGTCCATCAGCGATGACAGCTCTGCTTTAAGTTTGGCGGGCTCCGCGCCGGCGGTAAAATGGCGGCCGCGGGCTGCACCATCGATGTTCCCGCCCTTTGTGAAATGGCGGCCAGGTCGCTCCGTCCAGACGACTCCGCCGCTCCTTCCTTCGCCGCAGCAGATAAAGGACGCAGCTCGGTGAGGATCGAGGACGCCGTCTGAAGAAGCTCCGCAAGGCGAGCGTGCGCGTCTCTGACGAGCGTCTCCAACGATGGCGAGGCGCCGCACGCTCCGACGGCGCTCTGCTCCGCTAGCAGTGCCTCCGCTCCGTCGGCGGCGGCCGTGGGCGGAATTAGCTCTTCATCGTCTTTGTCGTCCGACGCCCGTGTACGAACTCTGCGACGTGTAGACATGATTGTCTACCGCTAGCTATTTCCTAGCAAGTTGGCCACTTCCGACACCAGTTGTAGTGAGTCCAACTGAGTCGCAGACGTTGTCTTAGGGAACAACACGTTTTATTAAACTCACGACATACTCCAAGCTATTAACATAACATACTCTCGGGCGGTGACCACCCAACTAACCACGCTACGGCGGTACAGCTTGCATGCATTACATGATACGTGTCCATCTGTGAGCATGTGCGTGTGTGCGAGTTGTATAGTACGCCCAGCTAAGCTCTCTCCACATCCATTGTTAATAATGCCACATGAACTAAATAATTACCACTTATCTGTGATGTATATCCCTCACTTTCTGACTAGGCACGGACAGAAAAATCTCTTTGAAGACACAAGGGTACTGCTGGTGTCCGAGGATCACGAGAGCTTCCTGGACCTGTGGTCGGAGATTCTTATGGCGGCGAAGGCTGCCACAGTCACCTGCCACAAGCCCACCCCGAACTATGGTTAGCCTCAATGTGTGTCTGTGTGTGTCTGTGTCTGTTTGTGTGTGTCTGTGTGTCTGTGTGTGTGTCTGTGTGTGTCTGTGTCCGTGTGTGTGTGTCTATGTGTGTGTGTCTGTGTGTGTCTGTGTCCGTGTGTGTGTGTCCGTGTGTGTGTGTCTGTGTGTGTGTCCGTGTGTGTGTGTCTGTGTGTGTGTCTGTGTGTGTCTGTGGGAGCGATAGTGTAGCGGTTAGCGCGCTGCGCTATGAACCTGGCGACCCAGGTTCGATTCCCGCTCACGGCCAACACCGGTGACGATTATCTGAACCGGTCCCGGGCCTCCCCTAGGTCGACTCAGCCTCAAATGAGTACCTGGTGCAGTGTGTAAACATTGCCACTAGGGAGACAAAGGCGGTCGGGCGTGGTGCTGGCCACCCACCCCCTCGTGTACCGTTTCGGCCTTCATAGGTGCTCGCTAACAGCACTTGCCCCTACAGTCTGTTAAGGCTATATGGGGGATCTTTGTTTCTTTGTTTTTGTCTGTGTCCGTGTGTGTGTGTGTCTGTGTGTGTGTCTGTGTGTGTGTCTGTGTGTGTCTGTGTGTGTCTCTGTGTGTGTGTCTGTGTGTGTGTGTCTGTGTGTGTGTCTGTGTGTGTGGGGAGCGATAGTGTAGCGGTTAGCGCGCTGCGCTATGAACCTGGCGACTCGGGTTCGATTCCCGCTCACGGCCAACAACAGTGACGATTATCTGAACCGGTCCCGGGCCTCCCCTAGGTCGACTCAGCCTCAAATGAGTACCTGGTGCGGTGTGTAAACATTGCCACTAGGGAGACAAAGGCGGTCGGGCGTGGTGCTAGCCACCCACCCCCTCGTGTACCGTTGCGGCCTTCATAGGTGCTCGCTAACAGCACTTGCCCCTACAGTCTGTTAAGGCTATATGGGGGATCTTTGTTATCTTTTTTGTGTGTATGTCTGTGTGTGTCTGTGTGTGTGTCTGTGTGTGTCTGTGTTTTCTCGTTCATGTTTTTGTTTTTTGTTTGTTGCGGTTGCACCCGATTTAAGAGCCGAATGGCTCACAGGGCTATACCAAATAAAGGGAACTTTGAACTACTTATAAGGGCGATTATAGATTGTAGCCTAAACGTTTAAAGTGCATTCAGGCTCTGTAGTTCAATAACTTTTTCCCAGACAGTTTTCTACAGGAACCCAGCGCTTCCATCACCTAATGTGTGCAAATGAAAAACCCACAACCCTGACATTAATAAGAGTATGATTGCCCCATTTGTAATATTGCTTATTTTTACATTAGCTGAATTTTTACTTGGAAGGGAATATTTGCAGACAATACAGTCACAAATAATAACTTGCATACATGAGGATTCAAATGTTAAACTTCAATTTTGAAATGTATTGTTTTTTATTTAAAAAAAATCCCAAAGCCATTATGCATGTTTTTTTGGTTTTGTGTTTCTGCAAATGTGCCACTTTATTGTGGCTTTTGTCACCTGAACATTGAGAAAGAAAAGGCAATTTTGCGTGTCATGACCAAAACTTTTAGTGTTTGTTACACAATCTGCACTTGCAGCAATCCTTCAATCCTGAAATGTGACTGAATGCCAGTGATGGCATACTCCCATTTCAGTCCAGATAATATATTGTGCGGTATGTATTGTCCATGTATGTAGCATATACAGATAGCTGCATTGTTGTACTTGAACATATGTGTGCATGGTGTTCCAATAATAAAAAGGTCATGCATAATATTACATGATGTGTGCCATCTTCAGATGTTGCAGTGGCCAAGTACGACTTGCTGGTGTCGGATGCATCATGCCCTCCCGGCATGCTGCATTGTGCTGCTGCTCTAGAAATGCCCGTGGTGTCCTCTGAGTGGCTGGTGCAGTGCCTGGTAACAGGACACCGTGTCCCCTTCACCTCTCACCCTGCCTTCCGGCATGACCACCGCCCAGTTTAAGCCCATCACTACTTGTAGAGCCATACGCAAGTTCTCACAATGCATGACGAAGAAGACAGATTGATAGGTTAGTCACATATCTAAATCTGAAAATGATTTTTATGTAATATTTTATTTTAACTCCATGTCCCCATTTACACACTTACACATCGCACACCAATGAAATAATTTTAACTGTTTGAGTTATATGTAAAAAATAAGCTAATTCCGGCTACACTTTTGCATAACCTTTTGCCACAACAAGTGAACAAAGTCAATCTAAGCTGTAGGGTCTACATTTGCACTGTTTAAGAAACTTGCCCAACTCCAAGATATTTTTTTACACTCATTGATTAAAACATTCCACCACAAGTTTCATCACTCATTGCATTCACCCAATTTTATCCTGTAATGTAAATGTAAAAACATAACTAACAATTGATATGAAAATTGTGGTCTATTTAAAACAAACGTTCATTGATAAGTATGACTGACTTTTATATTTTAAGTAACTACCGTACTTGAAATATATGTGCATTGCTGTGGGGTATTCGCCAAAAAAATTACGCATTTGGAGTGCATTTACACAATCCAGTTCTATTTGGGCATTTGCTGCCTTAAAGATATAGAATGCAATGCTGTGCACACTCGCTAGTCATGCAGTCGCCTAAAATTATTGTCGTAGTGGCCATTTACCTTATTTCACGTATCAACAAAATTTACTTACCATTTTGAGCGTTTTAACGATTTTTAACCATGCACTTTAAACAGTTGAGGTGTATTAAAACACACACAATGTGAAAGCTTAAATAGGTTTAATTTCCTGGTGGATGTTTTTACAACCACAGGGGCAATTAGAACAAGATAAACAAAATGCGTCACTGTAGGAAGATGACATTATAAAAGACAATGATTGATGTTTTGCATTTTGGCTATAAAACTTAACAGGTGTTTGAAATGTTTTTGGATCTTTGTTATTTTGCAAAAGACTCGTTTATTAGACATTCTGTAGGTGCTTCACTATGCCATTGTTTAAGTGACTGAAAGTAATTCATTATATGCCTTACTGAAAAACGTGTACATTTGCATAGAGGGACCAAGTTGTGGGTGAATAATAGTTAAGACTTGATATGTTGCATAATGGTTCTCTGCAAAAATGGAATCATTGTGTTGATAAATCAAGATCGCCCAGGTTTAGCTGGGTGACTTATTGAGGTGTTGATTATTGCGCCACCACGATAATCATGCACATAAAACTAATGTTTATCTAACATTCATTGTGTACTAAATGCTTTTTAGATTGCTACATACTGTGTTTATGAATTTTTAATTACCAGGTTTATTTGTAACCGTATTATTTTACGTCTAAAAACTGCTAGTGATATAATTGGTGAAACTATTAATGTCTTGACTTAAAGCTTTCGTGACTGCAGGAATTAATATACTTTGGGTCGTTCGGTAAAGTCACGTAGATAGGTTAAAAAAAATACGACATTTTGATCGCAACACAAGCGACCGTCAACGTAGTTTTTTTGTTTATTTCATAATTTTTTGAACCTATCTACGTGACTTTACCGAAAGACCCAAAGAATATAAACCATTAATATGTTTGTGTGTATTCGTTTTTTGCATGGTATTCCTAGGTAAGCTGTGCGTAATATCGTCAAAGTCTATAAATCAGCTGTGTAACAATATCGGGTAGTTGTTTTAGATGCTCCAGATGTTATTTCAGTTATAAGTTACATGTAATAATTACAGGTTTACTGTGAGGAATTACACATCTGCTTTGTAGCTGTTGATACTGTGAAGCATTTTTGTGATGATGTGCCACTGTTGCTTGCTCAATAGCTACATCTTAGGACCATCTGTGCATACATGGCACAGAGAATCTACTTTCACCAAAATTATTCCCTTTTAGAGCTGGCTTATTTTGTCTGAACCAAAAGTATATATGAAAAAAAATTAACAACACTTTTTTAATGTTCTTTTTTTATAAATAGTTTCAATCACAATGCTATCTGATACATAATCCATAGCTTTACATACTTGGTTATGAAATCCAGCCCATGACTTTGTTATGCCTACTCCACGACTTTTTTTTACAATGTTGAGCCTTTTATCCCACATGGAGACACTTTAACTTGATAGTTTGGATGTAAATTATGCTGAAACAATAACCCAAGAGTTTAGAAAAAGACGGACCTGTGTTGTCAGAGTAGCCATTACAATTGTCTGTAGTGTAAACTTTGTATAATTAAGCAGTTTAAGTGTGAGGCATTTAAGTTGGAAATGTAAACGTTTAATTCTAATTTGTTATTTCCCCATTTTTGCCCGTCGCTGCCAGTGTCGACAGCTTGGTCCTCATTTAATACGTTCGCATGATGCGGAGAAGGCTCTTTGTTTTAATTGTCTGCGAGTGGCCCGAGAGATGGAAGTTTGCCCACACTCCCCCGAGTCCCTCTTGTACTGCACGGAAGGAGCGAGGCTCGCCTTATTTTCCCCAGTGTTCGCGGTGCAGATTCTGCAACTGGTGTCCTGTGCCAAAATCTGGAGCCACTGGAAGCCTCAAAAAGCCTTCTCTGAATCACATTCGTGACCCTTTTAGCTAATGCTAACATATGGAAGGACCAAGCTGTGGATGCTGTAAACGTCTCCCAATAAACAGTTTTGCCAAATGTTCAGAATTAGACAGAAGGACGATTATAACTGCTTTCTTTAAAAAGAAAAAGTTCAACGACTTACATTTGAAAAGTTTTAAATAAAATTGTGGACAATTAATGTTCGTTTTTAAGTGCAACCCCTATGTGCATCTCTTGGCAACTAGGACATTGTGACATTAAACTTACCGACATGGAACATGTCTTTGCATCTCAAGCAACCATTATGAAACTGGTTTGGAGGATTGTTAAAAAAATATTTGAATTATGTATTGTTTTGATTTAAAGCTTTCGTGACTGCAGGGATTCATATTCTTGGTTCTATCCCTTCTACGTGACTTTACCGAAAGAACCAAGAATTATGTATTGTTGTTAATCCATGTAGCATTTTTGTTAAATAAATAGAACTGCTTTTAGAGACAACAATATTGCAATTTTAATGTGCCAGGGTTACTAAAGGTAATTTGTCCAGCAGTAATGTAAAATGTTGTACTTTTAAGTTCAGTGTTTATTATACTCATCAGTCATTTAAAACAATATTAAATCCTTATTCCTCCACAATGTAATGTTGAAGTTAAAATTAGTATATACTTGTAATGTATGCCTTGTTAATGCAACAGGATTCTTAAAATATGTTGTATAACCCTTAAAATTGGTGAAGTGTGGCCTTGTACGAGATTAGTGATGACAGTTTAAGGTTTAGGGTCGACAATTTGGACAAGTACTTCATATACTTGATTTTATATGGAAGGTTTCATCAATATGAATGCACCTAAATAACGAAGTATTATGTTTCGTACGGATTATCAATCATGCAAGCCGTCCATTAAATTGGTGGAATGCTAGTTTGTGTGTCTGCCAATTATATTCTTCGTTCTTTCTGTAAAGTCACGTAGAAGGGAAACAAAATAAAAAATAAAAATATAAAACAATTAAATTATCACGACGTTTCGACTGCAACACAAGCAATCATCATCAGGTGTGAAAACCACAGCAATATTTTTTTTTCAAATTTTCTTGCTGTGGTTTTATCACCTGATGATGATTGTTTGTGTTGCAGTCGAAACGTCGAGAGAATTTTATTGTTTTATATTTTTTATTTTATTTTATTGTTTCCCTTCTACGTGACTTTACCGAAAGAACCAAGAATATGAATCCCTGCAGTCACGAAGGCTTTAAATCAAAATTTATCTGCCAATTGTCTCTTCAACAGAAATGTGATCTTATTGCTTACTCTTTGGTTCTTTCGGTAAAGTCACGTAGGTATAAAAGAAAATAAGATCCTATTGCTTGTTAAAGGATATACTAGGCCTGCATGTGTGAAAGCAACATCAATTAATTAATGTATGGCAAACAGGCATTGGTGCCTTTGAGCATCGTCCAAGAAACAGTCGTCACCCCAACAAATGCGTGGCGGGTGGAGGCAATAATTGATGTTGTGACCGACAAGCTATAAAAATATTGTGTATGCATTGCAGATTGGCCACTATTCAAATGTATCATTTGGCAGGTATCCATACAGCAAACAGTTCTATTTCATTTTCTTTTATCTTTGACTCGACATTTGATCACCGTTTTCTGCTTGAAATACATGTCAATTTCAGCTCTCTTATTTATCGTACGACCTTTATTGTGGCACTGGAATACCGAGGAATTGATCATTCGTTGCACAAAGCCAGTTGATTTCTCTCTACATATGTTTGGTAAATAATGTTGGTACATATGTAATTTAAAGCTGTTTACACATGGTTTTACTTAGCAGGTATAGATGCCCTCGTGCTAAAAGCTGAGAGAAGATTCGTGTGGCCGAGCAGCTACATGGCAGCACTTGGCTCGTGTTCATTGATTGTGATTTAAAAATAGTTTTAGCAACAGGCTTAATATAAATTAAACTTGGCTTTTCTTGTCCCAACTGTTGCAACAAACATTTTTTCTGCATTGTCCGATTTGCAACCAACGTGCATTTTTATGGCAATCAGTTAATTGCTGAGTACATTGCATGCATTTTTTGCATCCTATCATATTTACCAAGTGCACAATGAACAAAAGACAAGTGAAATATTTCTACAAATTATAACGGTTTTTTCACTTATTTACCAAAAAATATAATTTCGTAATTGAAAATCCCAACAACTTCCTTTCCCCCTTGCCTGGTTACCACAAAGCAAAACAACTGTAAATACGCAATTGAAATGCCTTACGTTAATTTGTTTTTATAAATTACACATTCCAAGGTTATCCTTATGTATCTCTTAATGATTGCATTGATTTATGGTTGCCATAATTGTGGATCCATTCATACTTATTTGCCTAAGCCAATTTGTGTATCTCATGCACAATGTTCTTTTATAACATCCTCAATATTTTGTGCAAACATGAACATTTTTAGTCATATGCTGAGTAAAATTGATGTGCAAAATGATACCTATCAATTATAATTCACACTTTTAGCTACAACTATATGAAAAACCCTGTTACGACTGGAAACACTGCAAGTGCGTTTGCCGTTGCGAAGAGTGCGTAATTATTTTCTCCACAGAGTGCTTTTTTGTGTACGCTACAGAGATATACTTAACGGTTTGCCATACCAGACGGGGATTATCATGACCTCCGCAGTTGACTAACTACGGTGCGAAAGAAGTTATACGTACATACCTCAAGCCTTCCACCAATAGAAACCACTGACATCCACCAATAATCTCTGCTTCAACTCGTGGACGCTCCTGTTTGTACAATTACTTAGTACAATGGAGGATTACCCGAGTTTTCTCCAGTGCCATGTGAACACAGCCAATTTAAATAGTGGCATCGTATGCATCTGCTGAAATTGTTTAATATGTGCACCGTTTTATAAGTAACTTGCAATCGTGGTTATTGCTTATGTCGGTGTAAAGCTTGCATCGCAGTACATGTTTTGGAGCCATTAAATTGTTACAACTCATTTTGTTTGTCAGTTTTGATGAGCGGCAAAATAAATACATTTAGGGGCCATCCATCCAGCACGTGCACAAAAATCTGTCAACTTGACCCCCCCCTCCCTATACGCACGCGTACTTTTTACCCCCACCTGCGTACGTACGCTTGACCCCCCCTCCCCGAATCCTATAGAACGGCCGATATTTAATCCACGCAGAAACGATCGAGGATTAATAATATTAATATTAACGTGTTTAAGAAAACAGTCCACCGCTGGCTGCATTAAAGAATGAAGTTGCGTACCTTGGACACTTATTTTGCTGAGCTGCGTGATAGCCAGCAGGCAGGGGTACGGTGGCATACAAGTGACACCTCTCCCACAGTCCCACTTCTCCCGGCAGTTCTTTGTCTGGCAGCTGAAGAAACTGAACTGTGGCTCATCTGAAGGCCAATGTAGACAAATTATCGATGCTTCAACCCCACCCCCCCCTGTTTCCTATGCGTACGTACATTGTCAGTAGACCCCCCATATTCAAGCGTACGCATTTGGGTTACCCCCCTCCCTCCGTGCGTACGTACTAAATGGATGCCCCCTTAAAGGAAAGTCATTAAGACATTTCTGAAGATAAAACTCCCATTTTACACAAAAGGGGATGTGATGTGTACAATAGTTGGAGTAAAATCTCTCAATTCGCGGATATTTATTTAGCGAAATTAGATCATTCGCAATTTTTATTTTTGCATACCAGTTTAACTTTCTTGAAATTTTCTTTTGACTATTCGCGATTTGGCACCATAGCATCAAGGGGGAAGCGTACTACGGGCGAGTACCGTAGTCGATTGCGGACCACGTGGCGCGATCCACATGCTAAAGCTTTTACTTTTCAAGTTCCGTTGACTGTTGTGCTATTTTTTGCCGTGTGCTTTAAATTTCGATCATTGGGTCGAAACTTCAAGCGAGTGGCTTCAGTGAGAACAAGAGTAAAAGGCAGAAAAAAGTGACGAATTTGGCCCGTAAAGTAGAGTTGTTGGATAGACTTGCACGTGGTGATAGTGAGTCTTCTGTTGACTGCCTTTATATGCCTTTTTATATATAACAGGTGAATGTGTCTGTTCAAAATGTTTAGCGTACTTCCCGACATGCAACAAACTTGAAATTTGCCATGTGGTTACTTTCCAGACTGTACACCATGCAAACATTATAAAAAAAAACACTTTTTTGTAGGGGGGGGGGGCGCTCAATAATGCATCTATTTTTTGCACGGCAAGTGAGCTGTGACGTCAAATCTGTCACGTGACCCCCGCATGTGGAAGCGTAACGCATTGTAGTGTAGCGGTTAGCGCTCACGGCCACCACCGGTGATGATTATTTTAACCGGTCCTGGGCCTCCACTAGGTCGACTCAGCCTCAAACGAGTAACTGTTGTGGTGTGCCAACATCGCCACTGGGGAGACAAAGGCGGCCGGGTGTGGTGAATCAAAGTCCCGGGCGAAGCCGGGTAGTACAGCTAGTGCCTTTATATGGTAAACGGGTCAACAGTCAAGATATCTAAAGCAAAACGAGAGGGCAATTCGGGAAAGTGTGGCGACAGTGCACCGATGACCGCCAAAGTAGTGGCATCATCGCATCCCCAGCATCATCTGCACCTCCGATTAGCAGGGTTGGCCACGTAGGGTGCGAAATAAATTAAACATACAAGGTAAATACCATTTCAAAGTGTACATTACAATGTAATGATTTGTTTTATATTTTGTTATCTGTATTGAACAATTTAAGTGTCTTATGTGTACAGTACAGGATTAATTATATGAAACATTTTCTGCTATATGTTCAGTCGGACACAGAAACCTTTTTCCCATAAAAAATATATTATCTACATTCGCGAATTATATTTTCGTGCAGATTTTCAATAACCTAGTCCTCGTGGATGTCGAGGCCGTACCTATTTCATTTGGAAAATTCCAATGAAAAATAAAAAAAAATTAGTCCTACAAAGGCAATAAATATAACGCAACAATAAAAAAATATGACTAGAGTAAGAAATAATACATTCTGTTAATTCAGAGTTATGTCTGTTCAGTTAGACTTATGGGGCCATTTTTATAATATTTTTAGATGTTACACTTAAATCTTTGCAAAATAAGCTATTAAATTAGACATCTCAATGTTACACCTTAATCTATGTTTTACGAGAAGCTTATTTTTTGACAGACTCATCTGAGAGCATGTGGTTCTTACGAACGTGTGCAGAAAAGGCTTAAGGTGGTCTCTAGGGGGTCACCCCTGCCACCAGATTTACTGCGCCCTCTATCCTTCATACCTCACTTTCATCTGCACCGCGAACGGTTGCAGCGTTGGTTATGACCACCAGGAGAGTGGGAAATCAGAGGGATAGCCCCAAAACTACGTCCTTTATCTGTGTTGTTATCTAGTGTACATTACGAACACTCGAAATATTTCAATAAAGCCACCTTTCTCGCTCCCA